GGGTACATATTTATTATTATTACTATTATTATTCAGGCGAAAGCGCACAGTCTAGAGGACTAATAAATAAACAACGATTTAGACCACGCATATCTAGGCAACAGTATCGTCGCTAATCCATAAAACTTACAAGTCAATTATTTTTATTTTTGTGTTCGCGTCTTGCTGCGTGAGTATAACTAATAATACAAATTCCACCGTCAACGCTGCTATAATTTATTAACTTATGTTCCACTACATGTTTCGACCCTTATAGGATCATCTTCAGGTGTTGTGATTTACACATTTTCATTATTAAATTGTAGAGCGTGTATACATATTTACATGCAGAAGCTTAACAGGACTACTTTCTATGTACGAGTACATTTATACTGTAGCATCTAGACGTTGATTTAAATACATTATATATAAACAAAGTAAATGTATACCTGTAACAAATCGTGGGGGCCCATAGGGACGTGAGAGGTCAAGGCTTCCACATCTTCTAGACAATCAGCTCATACATGGCGGTTAGGTTGTCAGCCCTATGCACCGGTCGGCCGCCCTTTACCACCAAGAATATTCCTGGTACTTATTTCTGTTAGAGGCTGAGACGATCCCAGGGCCATAGTGGGGCTGGAAGGATTAGGTGAATTGAAAAAATCCAGTGACCTTATAGAGACTTGAACCCGCGACCTTCCGGCTTGTAGCATAGTGCTTCAACCAACTACGCTACTGCGTGCCACCAAATACAATAAATAAATATATATATATATAAAACTAAAAGTTTATTTTAAATTAATCAACTTTTAATCTTGAACTTTTAGTATAAATATACATAGAATGTAGTCATTTTAATTCTATGTACGTAAATATGTATACAGGCTTTACAATTCAATAATGAAAATGTGTAAGTCACAACACCTGAAGATGACCCTATAAGAGTCGAAACATGTAGTGGAACATACGTTTATAAATTATAATTGCGTTGACGGTGGAATTTGTATTATTAGTTACAAGAGAAATTTCATTTATTAAGGAAATGCTTGGGGACGGTCTGGGTTCTTCATGTACAGGTTAAAACTCACCTATGTATAATTTATTGACTGCGTAGATGAAGAAACAGATGTCCCTTCGCAGCTGTACTCGTACATCATGTATGTAACATATAACTGTTCAATATCCATTTGACAAATGACATTACAAATCTTGTTGCTGAACATAACCTCAACGTGGACGTATACTTCGGTATGTGCTTTCATAAACTCACAATTTCAGTTGGCAGAAAAAGCTTACGAAGTGATATGTAGATCCTACATGCCTGTCTTGAAAAGAAAGAATCTTTGATTTCTTTCTGCTGATTAATATTCCACGATAAAGCACTAACTACATTTCACATAATATTACGGTATACGCATCCACGGAATGAAAACAAAACACTGTTCGCTCCTTGTGATCTGAGACGAAGGCCTAATTTTATACAACCTAAGGAGCCCAGTAGCCGTGCGGTCTAAGGCATGAATCGTTTTCGCCCGAACACTGGGATTGTTGGTTCGAATTCCACTCGAGGCATGGATGTCTGTGTACGTATATTATGTTTGTGTTGTTCTGTGTGTAGGTAGCGGTCTTGCGCCGAGCTCATGCTCATGCTCCAAGGAATTCTACCGACTGTGTATAGATTAAGACACTGAAATAGCGGCCAAGGTCCACAAAGGCTGCAGAGCCACAGATACTCTTAGATAGCCAGTCTCGTAAATTTCTGCTGATCCTCGCCAGCACAGTCGTTCTTGGTTTCGGGCCCCATGACCATATTTTTGTTCTTTCCAGACATTACATGTTTTGAAACGGGGCCTCCTCTTCGACGAGAGGCAGGAGCTGACTACTATTGGTCATTGCCCTTCTAGTGGGGAGTGACTATGATGTCTCTCACTCTCACTCATTTCCACTTGTCCGATGCTGGCAATCAATGACTCTGTCATGCAAAGGAGCCAAGTATGATAATCACAAATGCCGGTGCGGTAATCTCGCAACTTTCGTAAGTCTTGTCGCAAAATAATAATAATAATAACTTGCATTAATATATCTTTTCAGAAAGAAAGTTTTTTTTCTTCAAACAAATGATAGGTAAGGAAGCCATAAAGTTTTCATAGCGTTAAATGATATTACGAAGGCTCAGAACACATCTGTGCAGTAGGCTACTAACGTTAAAATTCATTCAATACACGAACGAAACTTCTGGAATGCAAACTGACAGCGCATGGAAGTGCTATTGTATTTTGATATATGGGCTTCGTATGGAACATAGAAAGTTAAGTATCGTATATAATGACTGGTCGCAACAATTTGCTTTCAACAGGGAATATTCTTTTGGAATTCGTGTCGTCGTGCTTAATCTCAGACCGTAAAAATTGGCGCTTATATGTTCTCAGGAAGTCTATAGCAGAGTCAAGCATTATTCGATAGGTCTGATGATACTGAACTATCAGCAGTTACGAGTTTACGAGAAAGCAATTAAGACCAAACTCGAGGTCCTTTCGCGGCATTCGTCTAGAAAGACTGAAATAAACCAAGAAAGAACACATGATAGTAAGAAATTCCTTAGCGATTCGAACCAAGTACCTCCCGAATATGCATCTAGAGTCTTGCCGCTATACGGAAGTGTGGGTCAGGAGGCCAGTAGCCGGTCTCCTGCCGGCGAGGTCCGGGTTTAATCTGAAGGCTTTGTTCTCGACAAAATGACACGTGTCCAAGGTTTCCTCCTTGTAGCCTCCTTCCGTTTTGCCGTATCAGCCACCACTTTACCAACGCGTAATGCCCACCTAACTACATGAGCAGGGGCTTGAGTAAAAGGCCTCATTCTTCTAACAAATAACTTCAAGGAGCTGAGCCCTTCTTGAGAAGCCGCCAATTGTGCAGCCATTCAAGTACTTTCCAGCATTTTATGGAACCACAAAGTTCATTACCGTTTTCACAAGAGTCCTCCACCGGTTCCTATCCTAAGCCACATCGATCCAGTACACACCACCCCATCCTACCTCTTTTAAGATCCATTTTAACATTGTCCACCCACCTACATTTTGGTCTTCCTAGTGGTCTCTTTCATCCTCTCACAAATAGAAACAAAAACTGAAAGTGCATCACTGAACCGCAAATCCAGGCACAAGAGTGAAAGGGGTTGCCGTAACCTTATTTTAGCAAGAAGTTCATTGAACAATACTTACATTTTCAGTCCCTACCTAACGATAGGCGCACTGAGTCTTCGTTACAAAGATAAACCAATTTATGCTTTTTACTGTGAGAATCTTACGGAACGCTTAGATGGCAGGAGTGCAGTGGATTTCGATACAAGGGCAATGGAGCCCTTGGGCCCTACCTGGTGACGGCAGGGCTGGGAGGGCTAGGAGACGAGCTGGAGGGCTCCATGTCGGCCGTCCGTCCGCTGCTGGCATCCTCACAGTAGACCCATGACTCGCACAGTATCCACAACACACACACGCGGCCCTGACAGCCCTCCGCGCCGTACACTCACTATACTGACAAGGAAGCCCAGGCCGGACGCCGAGCGTCGGGACGTCCTCGTTTTATTGCGCATGGCACTACTGAACAATATTATAGCACTCTCGCTTTTTTTTTTCATTCCGCCCCAGATGCTGGCCGTACTCGGCCGCCATGCGTTGTGCCCGGCGCACGCGATCGATTGCCCATGTGTGTTATTGCAAGTAAACAAACGGCTTCCTGGATCGCTAGCATCGCTGCCTGCGCCCAGAAGAACGCGATAATTCCAAACAAAACGGCCGCAACACACGCGAGTGACATCTGACGTAAAGTAAAGAGTTTCTGGGGTGTGACTCAGTGCATCTGGTACACCGTTACCAACGTTTCGGAGGGACCTGCTGCCTCCATCTTCAGGGTAGACGAGTAGGCTGAGCGTGGAAAATGGTACAGACATAGGGAAGGTCGAAATCGGTCGATTTCTCCCTTGGAAAACGGCCATTTAGCCGTATGTAGCAAATAGTTCACGTAGGTAAAAGGTAAATTTGTCCTTGTGCTTAACCGATTAAGCTCTATTCCATGAATGCATACGGGGGAGTGGCTGTATAGATCCACATTTTCTTGAGCTTGGCACTAGTAGGAGGTGAGTGGTCAGCTTCACGCACCGGCTGCTTTACCTCCGATGAAGGAACCCATTTCACATAGACAGTGTTAAAAAGTAAGTTCCTATCTCACAGAAAACACAGTGTCTACATTACAAACATTATTGGGGTAATGCTGTTAAGGGAAACAGTCGCTGTTTACTCTTACAATCTATGAAATGTAAACACAATTAAGGTCAAAATGCAGACGTTCTCATGTTCAAGCATAGACACCCATATGCCTGAAAGGGTCAAAGGGCCAGCATTCTCCCTACACCAACTGATTTGTTCAGGGCCTCGTCCACTCTCTCCCTATAGCCGTGCCGTTTCTCCAAACTAATCTCTCGTCTATCCTAAAGGAAATGTTCCTCCAAAATGTTGGATTACTTTCATTGGATGAAGGGCTTTCATATCCCAGAAGATATAATTCCTCAGTGAAGTTAAAGTTGTCCCCATCCTTAATTATGCACCACTCCATGAATACGTATGGAGAAGTGGAGGTATAACTTCACACATTCATAACCTAGGCACTATACGGTAGCGAGTGGTCTGCATCACGCGCCGGCCACTTCACCTCAGGGAAAGTGCCTCCAGTACCCTTTGGATAGGTGGCTGGGTGCGCTTCAGAACCGGTGTGGACACTGTCTATATTCCCTGCCCCTGTCAGGAACTGAACACTGACTGCTTGGCTGTACAGCTTGTTAACAACTGCACTGACTTCATTAGCCTGGCTCTTACTATCCACAAGGAGACCTTGATTCAGTTTGGCAGGACGAGTGTAGGTACACTCGCTTCCCATCCTACAGTTACTGAGGCTGAGGTTTAACCCCATCTCCTAAGAATAACATGCACAAATAATCAAGTGTACACCATCTCCGTTGTATATTATGCTACACTTCACATATCCACACACTCACAGAACAGACACGATATACTGCAACAAGACTGCATGCTCATTCATGACCTCATAGACTTCAGTTCATGCAACATCTTACTTGACAATTCATTGCTCTGGTAACCTATCAGTGCACTTGATAACAATGATACATGTCATTCTTGCAAAACATTTTTATGTACATAGAAGGGAAATTTCCGACTTTCGGATAAAACTGTAAAGACAGAACAATCAAATTCAGAAAAAAGTTTACTTATACAAGTAAAGAATTTTGGGAATGATTCAAATCACATGCAAAAACTCTTATCACAACATTTGCACATCGCTTCAACAGCTATGGATGCATCACATACTCGTAATAACAAAGTATGCAGCAAATATCATATTTTCAGGTGTTTTTATTGGGCCTGTGACAGGAAGCTGATATGGGAGTACAACACTGTACCGTTGATCATTTTGATTGATAACTTCTAATATCTCTTACATAAAAGACACAAAATTCGGTAACAATTTTCATTTCCCATTACAGGCCAACCAGACCTAGCCTACAGCATGATCCATGCTACTGTATCAGACTGCTTGTCTGCCTTTTCCGTTTACTCACACATGGCCTGGATCATAAATGGATGAGTATGACAGAAGTAACTGACATAAGTACAAATGAGTGCACATTCAACATATAATTACAGAAACACACATAAAATTTATGAAAAACCATTCAAACTGATGATTCAATTCAATGCTGACACAAGTGTATTCAACTGAACAGCAACTTTCAGTACTTCCTGTTTTGCTTCCACTGGCAGACTGCTGGACTCACAGAACCTGACAACCATGCCTGTATCATACTTCAGCCTTTCAATTGCTTTGATCACACTGTCCTCAGTAACAGCTACCTTCTGTCGCTTTGGCAGATGATCGATACTTTTAATCTCTTCTGATGTATGAAGTTCCAATTTTGGGATCAGCTTGGTGTCAGCGACAGATTCACGTTCAGTCACAGAAGTTTTGCAACTGTGAGAAAACTTCACTTCAGACTGACATTTAATATAAGATTCAAGTGACAGGAAATTTTCAATAGATGCCTTCACAGGCAACTTCTGCAAATATGTTCTGGTTTTTCGTTGGAGGTTTTCATTGTTCTTGACAGACAGTGCAAGAATACATTCATGAGAATTTACATGTGCAAAATATGTGAATGTTTCTAATGTCATCTGTTGCACTATTTGATTTTCATCTAGCAGCAGAGAGGCAAACAATCCTGCTATGTGCTGGAACACTTGCATCTGATCCGGAGTGGAGTCCACAAATGTATCTGCAAGTCTGTTCAAAATGGTAACAACCTTGAGCTTCGCTGCTGATGATCCACAGGCAATGATGTCCTTCAGCCTTACAAGAACCTAAAACAAATATAAAGGCTCTGAGGTTCCTACGGCATTGAATCTCGTCACTAAAGTCTCCTGGGATGTGATGTCATATAATCTGGTAGACAGGTACCAGTGTTTCAGAGGAATATGTTGCTTCAATCTTCAGGGTAGAATAAGTAAGAAATTACATCATATACCCTGAAGAAAGAGGTAATAGGGTGAATCCTGAAGACGAAGGCTCCACATTCGTCTGAAACATTGGTAACCTTCAGAATCCAGAACACTTGTTTAGTTAAAAAGAGTTACGTTCTTGAATCCAGAATAAGACAAGGCATACCTGAATTAATTGTGAGTTGCTCATGTGAAGTGTAAGAGGAGCAGACAGTGAGCACAGAACAGATACAAAATGATTAATCCACTGGAACCCTTTAACGCTCGTCTCCTCAGCAGTCAGAAGTTCGTTAAGGGCAACGCGCTGCCACAGTGTCACCACATGACCTGTAATGGCTGACAACATGTCTCTCTCATTTGGAGTAAGCAATTCAACACACTGTGAAGCAGCAGCAAGGATGTCCACCTGGAAAATTGTGATGAAAGAGACGAGGGCATGAAGCCTTTATTATTAATGTGTGCAGAACTGGTCATGCCTGTCTCCATTCAGAAACGAATGAAGAACTTGGAAACATAAAAAGAATTGATACTATGGTCTTGTGGGACATGACGCTGTGCAGCTTAGCCAGTAGGTTCCAATGTTTCAGATGAAGTCAGGGTAAGTCAGTACAGCAGGCTTCACACACTTCCGACACCGTTCAGAGCCGCTACTCACTACTCCTGAATGAGTTTGCTCAAGGTCAACAACATTCTAAACTTTTTCAAAAGTTACAGCAGTGTAGGAACTAAATTTTATCCACTGACTGGACTCCATGGCATCATATCCCAGAAGAAGCAGCCTTCATACGTTTGTTATTTATTCAGCAACTCTGCCAAGACTATACAGCATTAATTTGGAAATGATGTGAAAGGAAGCAACTGTAGCCTAATGTAAAGTACTACCCTGCTATTTGCCTGGAAGCACTGAGACAAATCCCCCGCCCCTCAAACCCTCAGTCACAATAACCAATCTCCACACCAAGATCTGAACCTCGGACTCCCAGACATGAAGCAGGAGTGTGACCATAATGTTACAGAAACTATGCTTACAGCCTGTTTACAGTTTTAATTATTCATGCTCTTAGTACTTGTGGGATTTAGACAACACTTCAAATTATAAACTTACCAAATTTTGAACTACTGCATCGAAAAAGTTAATTCTTATATTGTAGGATGAAACTGACAGTTACTGTGGCTTATCCAGTGTCAAAATAAAGAAGTCTTAATGCACTGTTTTCCTGAACAAAAGTCAGTTTGGAAACAGAGAGAATGCACTAGAAGAATGCTGAGGGGTCAGCACATTATCTGACTGCTTTTGTGTTACTTCACATACTCTTGTGAAGAAGGTAATGAACTCTTGGGTTCTGTAAGAGGCAGGGGAGTTCTTGACTAGCAGAATGACTATTATCTTCTCAGGGACTCCGCTACATGAGGTTAGTTAGGCACCAGGCAAGTTGGCTCGAGAGGTAATCCTTCCGATTTGTATTATGGGGGTGACGGGTTCGAATCTCAATTGAGACATCAGCTATCCTGGTTTTCATTGGACCCTCCAGGAAAATTTCATGACAATATCTCAAATTAAACCATGGCAGTTTCCTTCTACATCCTTTCTAATTCCTTTTCTAGTAAATCATCCAACCATGTGACACTATACAGCGTGACATAGTGACAGCTTCATTGTACCTCTACTCATATGAAGTAATAACAGTGACATCACACAGCAAGAAACTGATTGGTTCAGCTGGTGTGCTTTGGTATTAGCAGCTGTGAACCTGCTGTTCCAATACCAGAGACTAGGAACAAACTGCACATACAAACCATATGACTGTACAGCTCAGGTGAAGCTGGAAGTGTAAGCAACCTCTCTGTATGCAAGATGGCGGCCCTCACTAAACTCTCAGTCACTGCTGCCTTGAGCTTTTCTGGCAAAGCTTTCACGCTTAGAGCTTGCCACACACACAGATCTGTATCTGGAGGGAACATTTCAACTATCTGCACTTTGTGTTTATTTGGAAGCAGTGGGAACAGTCTGCCAGCAAGCACTGTCACGTACGTCTTCTCGGGGCGCCCGTGATGATGGACAAGATGTTTCATGACTTCGATGAGATGGCACAACTGCTGGAAGCACAGTTCTGAGCTTCCAGACCTGTAACAACAAACACTTAACTCAGTGTGAGAAGCAAAAGAACTCACCACTATTTCAGATACTTCTATTAACATTTTAAATCTCACACTTTCAGGTGGTGAAATTTCCTCCCAGAAGTTGTCCTTGTATTAAATTAAGCATAAAGCCATGAAGATTTATGAGAGAGGGGGGTATAGCTCCATTCTTTCTTAACCTTAGACACTAGATGGAGGTAAGTAGCCATCAGACAAGCTGCTCGGTGGGCACCACCACAAGCTTGGATGCTGTGGAGAAGAGAAAATTCTTGCATCTTCCAAGGATTAAATCCCAGTTCCCCAGTCACTATACTGTCTGAGCTACCCCTGATTCAGGCCACATTTTTTAACAAGTGTAGTTAAACAACTGCTATTTTTGTTATTCTGTCCATTTTTACTGCCTCTTCCACTTTGATTTTTTTAAAGAGCTGCAACACATCAAACATTGAATGAACATGCAACAGAACGGTACGGTTAAAGGCAAAAGTGAGAAACTGGAAATGACTACATCTGGGTGTCCTAAACAAAATACTTTTCATTACCCCATTTTCTAAATATGTGCAGGTACAACTGTTTCAAAACGTTCCTACCATAATATGTGTTCAAAGGCAGAGCACTAAATAGTTCTGAAGGGGGCTGGTGGGCTGTGTTCACAACAGAGGAGATTTTGGGAAAATATGTGTCATCACTGCCTGCTCTGTCATGACACTGCTCACCCCAACACCTGCAGCAGCTGCGAGGGTTGTTTTGTCTTTCTGTGGTACAACACTACTCCAACCTGCGTGCTTAACCCCAGTCAGAGTTCACTGCAAAACCAGCAATACAAGGCATAAGCTATCACTACTGTTCCACTTCTTGTAGTTACATTACAGATGAAGAAAACTGGTCTCTGCATCACAGAGCAGAAACTGTAGCCAGTCTTTATCCTCTCTGAACTACCACTGGAAAAATGAATGTGGCTGCATAAGCTGAATAATATGGCTTCTTCTTCTGGCATCATTTTATGTCTTATACAGGTTAACGGATGAAAAGTATCCACTCTCTTCTACCTTTCCAGAATTTTTTGTCACTTTCTTGCCGGGGCTTCTTACCTTCTTGCATGTCTTCTACTACCAAGAACTAGAGCTACTGAAGTCAAATGTAATATAGCATATACAGAGATGTATCTACTGAATGAGAAACTTGGAAAGTAAAATAAGAAATGGAAGTTCATACCGAGCCACAATGCACCAGACGTCCATGGACAGAAGTGCCCTCCACACGGCAGGCTGCATAACACTTGCAATCAGAACGTGCTCCACTGAAAGGAATTCCTGCGCTGAAGTTGACATGACAAATGCTGCTACATGAGTGACTGTATATTCATACAGGTCCGTCATCCTCTGGGGCTCATCACTGTGGCTCACTCCAGGGAACTGCAGATCCCAACTCATTTCTGCGTGGCCTGGAACAAACAGGCAGTGGAAGATCATCACTTGTGGTATTTGAAGCCATGTATTTGTACTGTAGCTGAGGCTGGAGGGTCAAATGATTCGATGAAACTGAATAATGAATTGGAAAGGGCATGGAAGAAAATTGTGAGGTGCTGTTTCTCTAAAATATCTGTGAGGGTCCACCATACTTTAAGTATACAACTTGCCAGAAGGAGAGTTCCCTGCACTCATTGAGATATTTTGTATGGCAGTTTTGGTCCACACTGCATATTGAAAGCAGTATCAAGTAATTATTTAATGATGTGTTAATCTGTGACATTATCTGATGAAAACACACCCTAAGAGATGTTTTACACACAGTATAATATCCTAGAATTTGCTGTGAAGGACTGAAGAAAACCTTGTAAAACCTCAATCTGCACAATTTGTGTCCTGGTGAATATTTGTCAGTGTCTTGGAAGGATCTACCTACATCTTTAACCTGAAGGTGGTGGTAGCAGGTTCCTAGGTTCATCTGAAACACTGTTCTGACAAACTGACACCTCATACAACATAAACAGAAGCATGTAACATGCCGTTCTGAGGCTGCACTTACAATAGCCCAGAGTTCTGAAGAGCACAGACAGTATGTTAAGCTCTGAATTGCAGCCCAGCCACAGTTTTCTTACAGCCTGACTGCAGTGAAGAAGTTTCTTGAGAATGGAAACCGACAGCAGCAGGAAAGCAAGTCGCTCACTCTCTGCCTCTGCTAATTTATCAACATAAGCAATGACTTTCTGGAATGGAAACAAATGCACTGTTATTAAAGATTATCAGTGAATTTATCTCTTAGAGGTGGCCACTGTACATACCACCTGCTTTAACAAACAAAAACTTATGCAACAGTACAAGAAGACATAATAACGCACACAAACACACAGATCATGCAATGAAGGTTACTGCTTTCTGGTTATGTGAGTCAGTCAGCTAATTAGAAAGCACTGCTTACAGACAAACTCCTCTGTAACTAGAGCAGTATTACCTCTGTGAATTCAACTTCTGCAACAAGATGTGCCAGCAGAGGTTCTGCACCTATGGTCATATGTGTCTCCACGTTCTGTATTACATCCTTAGGTACGTTTTTCATCCGCAGATACGGAGAAGAGTACCTGAAAAGAAGTACTAATGACTGGATCACACTGGACACACCTAACATGAACACCATCACTGGGCAATAACAGTAGCAAATGACACATAAAGCACAAGCAACCACTACCTAAACATCACCTGAAAATGTGCATGGTATCAGAGTAGCGAATGAAGAATCAATCAACCATGAAATTCTAAACAAAAGTCTAGTAATGTTCATTATATATATACATATTATCTGAATCTAAGAATCAGCACATACCTGTAAGCTGTGAGCAGCATCTTAAACAGTTCGTCATGACAGGGGCCCAGAAATCCACTGTACTGGTCACACAATTTGATAATAATTTTTAGAGCAAAGTTTCCAACTTTCACAGTCCGTGTTATGAACTTCATATCAGGTTGGTCCTAAAAAGACAGTAATGTTAGAAATGGTTACTCTGTGTTAGTGCACACACGTGCATGCAAGCGTACATGTGTCTTTTGAGATGCAATGCATGTAGCCTGGTAGATCAGTTCTACATTGTGGAGGGACCTGCTGCATCAGTCTTCAGGGGAGAAAGGGAAGCTCAGCATGGGTAAAGTGGTACAGACATAAGGAGATAAAAACAAAGAATGTAGCCAGAAATGCTACAATTCAAAGCATTATAATCAGTATAAGGGACATATCGCCAAGTAGTGAGAACAAACATATGAATGAGGTACAAACATGGATACTGCAAAAGGAAAATCACACAGAACAAAGAGAGAGCTGTTTTTCTCAAACAAACATATTTTACTGTGAAAAATGATATGTGATAGCATGGAATACATTTACCTACAATCTAGTGCAGTGTGACAGTTTCAATCAGTGAACAATTGCATACAGATGGCTAAGTAGGACAAAAACATGTAGCAATTGATATGATTTTAATGTCATTTTAAATAAAAGAGAGATTGTGAGCAGTTTTAGGTTGCCTTAGAGACAGAAATGAATGAGTGAGGGCTACATCAATGCCATTAACTTAACTCCGTGGTTTTAGTCTGCAAGTGAACTATACCGACCGAGCGACCACTGCTTGTCGGCGAAGTTAGTGCCAACTTTAGTGGATAGAGGGTGTCGCATGGTCAGCACAATGAATCCCCACAGCAGTTCATTTCGGTTTTCTAGACCGAACATCAATGCCACATGATGCTCAAAGATAATATTATTTCATGATTTATTAATTCTGATCATCAAGAACTCTTAAACCACCATGATGCTGACAGTTACATATCCTTCCAAACACACTCTATATCACAAACTTGCTTATACAAGACGAATAGTACTTACCACTTCTATAACACTCTTTAGGCTACGTGAAACATCTGCAGCCAGGAACCGGAGGGGTCCCGCAACATCAAGGCGAGGTTTCAAATGGTCAACATACTGAAAGGCCAGGCGAGCATAACCCTTCCACTGTTCTGCCATGGTCTTCACATCCAAATCCATCACCAACTGGCCAATTTCCCCTAACATATCCAGTACTGACAGACAGAATGTATGGTATTTAATTTCTTTCATTCTGGTCCGTCACACTAATATTATGAAAAAGTTAAATAGTTCCGTCCAGTGTGACCGGTTAATGTATTGGAATAGCCACTGTAGTTGTAAAGATTTTAGATTTTACAGCCAATTGTATATTATTTATACTGTATGTATATATTTTAACTTTTAGAACATGTACTGTAATAGTGGCTTCTAACTGTTGATGTAAAGGTGTCCATCTGAAGACCAAAACATGTAAGGTCATGAATAATTGAAATAAGAAAATCTTAACGAGTCACACTGGACGGAACTATTTAACTTTTTCAGAATGTATGGTACATAGATAATTTGGCAATACAGCAATACAACGCTCGGAGCCAAAAAAGGACACATCACAATACACAATATACACAAAATACAGGAAGAACGACTCCCATAGTGGAAGAATGCTGTAGTACGCGAATTTGAGTTAAGACGCGTAAGATAATGGATATTAACAAATTTTGATATATATACATTTTAAATTTTATTATAGTTAGTGAAGAATGTGCACTTTAGATAATTTTAAAAACGAAACATGATGGCGAGCAATGTAATAGCTTGACGTAAATAACACACCTGAGGATGGTAAAGTGATGCCGAAACATGTAGTGAAGTGACATGTGAGATTGAGTGCACTACAAGACGGCTAATAAATACACATCATGGACGAAAGCGAAAGTAAACCGAGATTTGAGGTTTTCACCCGTCTTCTCTGCATAAAATAATTAAGAACCTATTATTAAGCAAGAAATAAAGAAATAGGAAAACTAAGGTTTGATCAGGATAAGTAGCCAAAACTGTATTTCCACATCCTGAAAGTGAAGCAGGAGTAACAGCCTCTGTGGCATGATTCTTAGTAGCATGTAAATGAAGCCATGATAAACACTGCAGCAGCAATGTACTACCGGATGACAAACACAGCAGAACTACAAATCAATATAAAATTTTCTCTCACTTGGAAAGCAATATTTATGGTCTTAACTAATTTAAATGAGCATTAATAATCTACATTTAACTTCTTAATATTCAAATCCACTGTCCTAAAGAAACCCTGAATCAGCATTTCTGAACATTTTCCATTTATATCTTATCTTATGGTTATGACCGTATTAAAGTCTCTTTTTGTCTTCGCCCGAAGCTATCCTGCTTTAGTGTTGTGTTGACGGTCATAGCCATAAGATACTGCACACACAAAAGGATGCAATATATAACATTTATTTTCCAGTTAACATGCCCCTTGGTCTCAAGAGTGTGCAGTTTTCAATGGCAACTTAATTTCTAACCCAAACTGTGCATTTACAAACATGACAAGTTAATGCACTTTTCACTTTAAATAGACTTTATTCATTTCATGTATAGAAAGAGATGTCAAGATGTTTTCAGGCCCTTTCAAAGTACATGATATAATCTCAAATATCTACTTAACAAGATCACACATGTCCACTGAGGTGGATGTACCCCAGTTTAGGGCTGCTGCCATAAATGGTAATTTCACTGTATTTGAATTAAAATTGCAATAAAATTGACAACAGAGAAGTTGTCAAGGCAACTAACTTTCTGTAAGCAGCTCTAGTTCAGCCTCATAAGTGCATCTGAACTGCAGGTTCTCTGAAACAACTTCCAGAAAATGCAACTGCAACTCACGACTCTTCTGGAACAGTGACGTTAAAGCATCACCAACAGGTTGGAACAATGCCCCATACATCTTCTCGCTGAAACATAATGCAATACGTTGCATTAAAAAGCTGTAATCACTTCACTGGCAGTTCATTATGCCACATTAAGCACAGACAAACTTGACGAAAATGTTACTCTCTTCAGGTAACTGTACATACAACATAAGATTGAGTATTTTAGATCAAAACCATATTATGTGTCAAAGCTGGATCTATTTCTGAAACACAGTGGATTTTGTGCAAAAATAATGGATGAGAGACAAAGTCCAAAAAGTACACTGGAAGTGAGGTTCTTGGAGCAGTGACCATTAAGAGCGCTGCCTACTGGAACGTGATACCAAGTAGCCCAGTATAAGTTCACCGATATTTCAGAGGCAAGCACCACCTCAGTCTTCAGAGCCAAAGGGTAAGTCAAGAACGTAACCAGCAAGACAAAAGTGGCAAGCAGAATAGTCTTAAAATATGTGTTATGCCATCACCAGAAACTTTACAGTTCATATATGAAACCACAGCTGAATCGCAAAATGAAAATCAAGATTGGCTTACCTCTCTTTGCAATGTTTGAAAGCTTCATACAGGATGTGTACAGCTACTTTTGGAAGACTGGGAACTAAAGCTGCGTCCACCTTTCCACTTCTCAGTACATAATGAAGTGCACTGTCAATGCATGTCAGCAGTTCAGTGCAGACCTACAGAAACCATTTTTGTTTTCATTATTACACAGCGAAGAAAATAATTTCAAGTACAAACTAGGGATGTACAGACAGCCTGAGCTTACTCATGCTGTGGTCTTCTGGCTCATGACACCATGTAGTATAAAGTACTGTGACATAAAAAAGTAAGCAAAGTTGTCCTTGTGCGCCATGAAGATGTATGGGGTGCTGAAGGTATGGCGCCAGCTGGGTGGTACCCAGAGCTGGTATGGAGACAAAAATCTCTGCTCTCCCTGCAAACCAAGCCCTGATTTTCCCATCATCCAGCCCATAGCCTAGCCATTATACTGAGCATATAGAGGTTTATTGTCAATGCACTATAGCATTCATAACATACCTGAAGCAAGCTATTCACACTGTCCAGAAGTTTGTCACACTGCTGAGTCTGTGCATCCTGCAACCTGGTGCAAATCCCCTCTAAGGTCTGAAAGAAAGATTACAGACTGAAATAATCAGTGTTGACAGACAATAAGGAATCTTACAAAAAATAAATGGTGCTTTATTACTTACTGACGCTGTCAGCAGTATCATGCCCACATGACCACAACATTTAGTCAACTGTGACTTTTTGTTTTTAGGCAATTATGATCATTAAATGATGTAGTACTTTATGTCTACATAAGTAATTTTCTCTTAGTGAAAATGCTTTGTTATACTCTTTTGCTTGTTTCCAAACTTTAAACTCTTATCATTTTTTTTTTTGCATAGTGCCCACCTTTAGAGTTCTAATGTAATTTCTGTCTGTAGAAACTTAAAAAATCTTCACAGTGCTCAAAGACAAGAATGCAGCACTAATCATTGTACCACAATGTTCACTTTCTTCTGACTGTATTCCACTTCTTAAGCATTTATATTTAAGAATTCATTGTTTTTACAACATTGCATATATGGAAAATCTGAAGTATGTTTAAACAAAACACTCATTTAAATGGACTCCATTATGCAAAAGTAATTAATATCTTCTTTTCTGAAGTCAGAAACATGAACACAAACAGCATGCCACTAACCTCATTTTATCATCATTATTATTCTATATTCTTCACGAAATTACTGAATATGACAATGTTCCCTCCTTAACTAATAGATGTCATATGCACACACATATAATCAGGCATACAGCTTGGCAATAGAAGTTGCAATGATACATGACTTTAATAAATAAATTACCTCGTTAAATAGCTGTCTTGTAGAAGGCAAGGCATACTGAAATAATTTTTCTTCCACATCATTTACAGGTATACAAGGCAAACATTTGCTCAGAAGGGCTTGCAAAGCCTGAAGTGACAATGCCTTTTGGTCTGGAAATTCCAATATTCTGTAATTCCAGTTAAGGTAACATAAACTATGACAGAACAGAAACTGAAACCCAGTGCCCCTAACTCGTTAACACATAACAAATGTGCATTTAAAGGATATTAAAAGCACAGACAGTGAGTGCGCAAGATTTTCCTCCACGTTCGGTATTGACCATTCCGAAAATTTTTCTATCAAGTCGACAAATGATTCATTTTGAGAATTCATTCTCCCATGTTCTAAACCACAAGGACAATCTAATATATTGTAAACTGTATACACTTTAAAGCTACTAACACAAGTCGACTCGAACCGCGCAAACTTAACAAATACAACCCTCTTACCGGCTCTTACGCATTCATTGGCTACTGTCTGCGCAGGGATACCAAGCTTTGAGTCATGACACAGTATAATTAACCACAAATTAATTAGGCCCAATCAAAATTACATTGATATGAAACAAATTTTTCAAGTCATTAAATATCATAAACAGCCAGTCACGGTAGCCGAGCGGTCTAAGGTATACACTGTCTTCGCTCGCTCGGATGCCAGGATCGTGGGTTCGAATCCCACTCAGGGCATGGATGTTTGTGTGCGTTTTTCTGTTTGTGTACAGGTAGAGGCCTTGCGACGAGCTGATCACCCGCCCAAGGAGTCCTACCGAACGTGTAAGATCTAGAAAAACCGAAGTGAACGGAGAAAGAAGTTCATGGAGCTAGGCCTAGGCCCACTGGGGCTGTAGTGCCAATGAAAAAAAAATGTCATAAACATTACTCACGACGCTCACGACCCTCACGACCTCTGAGTCACGTGGGGCGAGAAATATCTGTGTAACACCATTTGAATAGCCGTCATATTTTTAACATACTTTTTTATTTTGCGCTCCCAAGGCTTAGGCCGCTGGGTAGGTTAGAGCTTATTTCGGTTTCATTATTGAACCTGCAGTATATTTTTATATATTACCAAGTAGCTCTGTACTTTCAACACTGAATACATTTCTTGCAAACAGCAAGCCGAGAATAAAAGTGTCTAGCAGTTGGTCATCCTGCATACAAATTTATGAGTAGTTTGAGGCATGTATGGTGGTTGTGTTTTTAAATTTATGATATTGATATAAAGAAATTAATGTAGCTTATACATTAGTATAGTAGTGATTCAGAATTGATTAGCAAGAATCTGTACAAAAATATGACAACTTACATAACCCACCCAGTTGTACGTAAATCGGCTTTGCAATACATATTGTTTAATGTTTATCTAAAAATATAACCTCACATAACCAATTGTATAAAAATGTGTTTATAATTTCAGCAGCGAGACATGATCAATTTGGGATGCACAAATCAATTCAGTGTCGGAATTGCTTTTCAGGTTTATATGGACCTCTGTGAAGGTATGTGGAATTTTAGAAATCTATTACACTGGGATATCAAGTTTATTATTGTTTAGAACGTATTAATTGTAACCAGAATGCCACCCTGCTTGGGCTACGATCCTATAGGCTGCCCTTAACTCTATCGATTTTTTCGTCATCTCAACAACTTTTCAATACAATAAAAATAAATAAATAAAATCACTAGCATATATAATCCATACTTGTCAAAAACGTGGGATATCCTACGAATTCAGCTGAATATACTTTTCAAATTAGGGCTGGTTTTTAGGTAACATAACTAGTTTCCAATTTAACAGTTTCTCTATTTCTTATGAGAAACCTGTATCTAACACAAATTTCACCTTACATTAAACATTTTAAGATCACAGCTGTCATATTGATGAAGGACTGGGTGTAGTTATGCTTGGGGATTAGAAATTGAGGCATAATTGACAATTTACCATTTTAGTGACATGAAGTACATGCACTTGGAGTAGCTGATTCAGCTGATCCAGATCTGTTCAGAATTATCACAGAAGTAACTGTGACCACAACTGTACGTATGCACTGTTGCCTTTGTATGATGCTCTATGTATTTAGTTCAGGCACTGCACGATGTCAAGTACTTGTACAACCGTGAACTTGATTTGCTGTACCTGATGGGCAAAGATGGGAGAGGCTCACAGTCTGCTTCAAGAACGGAGATATTTCTTCCACTTTCAACTGTTTGTGAAATCACCCCTGCATGGATACAGAAAGTGCAAGATACACTTTGTGCTGACCAAGAAGAGAAAGGGTAATTAAGACAAAATATAATAATATGCATACACTGCACTGGAGTAAAATTTAGGGGATCTGGTATTTGCAATATGTATTCATTGATGGCATTCTTATTTAGTTAAGGTATTTACTTCAAGGTCTTCTGGGTTGTGAGACTGTTGTTTGGTAGGTAGGTACCAGTGTTGCCTCCTCCTCACTTTCCCACCTTGAAGTGACAACATTCCTTTTTCAAGCCAGTTCCTGAATAGTGACACCTGAAAGTTTAAGGGCTGCACATATTAGGACCCTGTAACTATCTTCTGTCCTTTTGCAGAACAAATTAATGAAATAAAAATGAAGTACATATCCTGCTTGATATTGTAATAATTGGGATATTTTGCCTTTATCAACCAAACATGGTACTATTTCAGGATAACATTAGCCATGAAGGAGCATGACTCCACAGTGGTCTACTATCGCCTGACACAAGGCTTACTACCACCAGACTCTCCAGAAACTAAACATCGAAAGAAACAGCTTGATGAGCAGAAACGTTTTATTGAAGGGGAAATATGCAGAATGCGACATAAATTGACAGAGAGAGCTCATAATGCTGGGTCTCTTGGAGAGGCAAAGACATTTATAGGTAATGAACAAGAAACAGCTCACTCCGCAAGCACTACTGCTGTAGATGGAGAGCATCGGATGAGCACCAGGGAGGATACTGGGCACCAGCCACACACGAGCACTGGAGTCACAGAGGAAAGTACACAGGTAGCAAAAGAATATCCCGATGACAGTTCTTCAGGCAGAACCTTGGCAGTGCAGCAGCAAGACTAAGACCAGGTGTTGTGCATATCGCCACAAAAATGGTCTCGTTAACAGCTGGGTCCAGCAAGTTGTTGTCAGTCAGTTGCCAGTTTATCTTTCATTTCATCCAGGCAAATGCTGAACAAGAAGTGTGAAACAGACCACACCTTCTTCCTTCTTGTTCCATTCTATTGCTCAGCATTCAGTCATCCTCTCATATCATTAAACACTAGTCACTGCAGTTGAAACATCATCATTAAATCTACAAATAAAGTTAATTTGCAAATGAGATTGGATGTTCTAGGATGACGCCACTTCCATCTTTAAGGTAGAAGAGTGAAGATGGAGAGGAAGTTCCTCTGAAACTTACTGTCTGTGAGAGTACACAGTGTCACACCCCACAAGACAGTAATGTTAAAAATGATACCCTTTATATACACAGTGGAACTCCCACCTAATGTTTTTCAATATAAAGTTTTCACTCATTTATTTTACAGTTTCAGTGATCCCAAGTCTTTCAGTTCAGTGTCTAATTCCTGAGCCTCAGATGGGGTTGTCACTGCATATACAGGGTGTCCCAGGAGGAATGGACCAAACTTCGGGATGGTGTTCCTTATGTTAAAGTATGCCGATATAACCCAAAACACCTATGTCCAAAGTTGAACGGTTACGGAGATAATGGCCCAAGAAAAGTGTGGTCTTCTGGAAGTTCCACGCACTGTACCTCTCAGCTGAGAGGCCTTATCTGTGTTTGTCCTTGAGTGCCGTGATTCACCCTAGCCGTACTTATGTAGTTGGCTTTATCAGAACTCGCAGTCAGCACGTTACGTCAGCGCTTGCCATTCATGTGTCATGTATAGTGCTTGGAAACCCTGAGGACAATTATGATATGGCGAGCAGGTATTTTGTACTTCAGTTTTATGGCTTCATGTCACTCACAAGTTAGTTTGATGTTACGTACATTATTAACATTACAGAATCCACATATTCCTGCCAGTTTTAATATGTATTTTGTAATCAACAAGTGTGTAACCCCGGTCAAAGTTTGACACTTCTCGGGCCATTATCTCCGTAACCGTTCAACTTTGGACATAGGTGTTTTGGGTTATATCGGCATACTTTAACATAAGGAACACCCTCCCGAAGTTTGGTCCATTCCTCCTGGGACACCTGTATACATATATCTGTGGGATGTGACATCCCACAAGCCAGAAATATTAATTGCAATACTGTTTCTCAAGATATCTGCCCTCCCCCTCCAAGTATTGGATCGTGAGACATGCATAACTTTTCCTGGCCCACTTTACCTACAGTAAAGAATTTTTCTCTGACAATATTCACCACGTGTAGCAGTTCCCAATTCGAGTCCTTACCATTTTGGAAATTAAGTGCATTTAAATGTCACCCATCTGTCCTTTAATGATGCCGGGCCCAGTGGGCAGTGCAGACATATCATCATAACAATGCAATGCATAGTCAGTAAAGGTTAGTTCTAAGTCTCACCATACAACTATCAGGAGGTACTCTGTTATTACAAGGTTGATCTACACATGAATGTACCTTAAATTACAGGGTGAATCATATAGAACTGGCCCGATGAATTTTCTAATATTCCGCAGGTGATGCATATAACTGCTCACAATTACGACATAATAATCCGTGGGCCGTGCTGAGTCGAATGGTGTGCACATGATCCAGCAAGTGGCAGCCCTTATGCTGCAAGGTCAAGGACAATGCCAAAACGTGTCTGCAGTGGGCAGGCGACAGTAATGAAGTACACTGTTGAACAGCGAGTGTTTCTAATGCCTACTTGAAAACAGCGGACACTTTCAATACCCGCTCTGATCACAGCACACAATCCAAGATAAGATATGTGTAAATTACTTTAATATCTGTATGGTGTATTTTATATTACACCTCATTTCGTCAGGCCGGTTCTATATGAATCACCCTGGAGTATTAATATGTTAGCACGATCGCTTATCAGTCCAAGAACCTCCCCTTGTAAATGTAAGTAAATCATCACTTGAGCTGGAACAACACAGTCAGTACAGCAACTGGCTGCAGGCTGGATGGCTGAGGGGTTGGAGTTCAAGTCCTGGTAGGGACAAAAGTTTTCTTCTCTCTACTTCAGCCAGCCTGGCTCCAGGGCCCACCCAGCAGCTGACCATTCACCTCCAACCTAGTGCCTAGGTGAAAAATATGTTGATCTGTGCACATACACCCCCTCCTTCCAAGTCATAAAAATCCCACACTTTCTACACACTAAGAAACTTACGGTGATTACAAAGGAAGTCTGGATCTTGGGACAGGGATCTTGCAGTGATCTAGCAACACTGCACCTCATGCTATCTGAATGTACTGCTGTTGCATACACCAAAGGGAAATGAGATCATGTTATGTGAATCACATGTACTTCTCCATTTTATTAATAAAAGATAGTGTGTTCATATAAAGCAAGTCTGAAATCCTGTATGAAGTCACAGTCCACTGAAGTTGCAAAGTTAATCACAATCTTCCATACAGATTTCACAAGACAAGCAGCATGTTGCTGTTATTTTAAAATCTTATGTATTGTCAATAAAATATTTCACTGTGTCAAAAAAATGTCACCCAGTACTGTACTATGATACAATGTTTGCCCTAATTTGCATGTTCAAAGCAAAAGCTGCCTTTATCATGGTAGGAGACTGCAATGACACAAGGGGAAGTGTCCATCACTGGAAGTATTAGTCACATCTTTACTGAAATGAGAACAGCTGTCGTACTCCACCAATACTTTGTGAAATGCTGGTATCAGACTGCAAGACCGCACAGAATCAGTTACAAACACTAACACTTTCTGTAATGTGACAAGGTCTGAGCAAAGAACGTCATGACACTTGAGATAATGTGCTCGAGACCAGACAGACTAAGAACATACAGCATACCCTTAACAGGCACATTTGCCACTGGGAACTGTAGATGACATGGCAACATCTATGCTTAAGTATTTATGCGCTAATGTTGTAAATGTTTCAATTATATGAACTTCCCAGCATTTAATAGAACCTGAAGGTTCATTACCACGTTCACAAGAACCCTTCACAGATCCCTACTTGAACCACATTGATCCAGTCCATACCATCCCATCTTATCTCTCTAGGGTCCATTTTAATATTGTCCACCCACCTACACCTTGGTCTTCCTAGTGGTCTCTTTCCTTCTGACTTTCCCACCAATATCCTGTATGCATTCCTCTTCTCCCCCATTAGTGCTACATACCCTGCCCATCTCATCCTCCCTGACTTGATCACTCTAATTATACTTGGAGAAGAGTACAGGTTATGAAGCTCCTCATTATGCAGTTTTCTCCCACTTCATCTCCCTTCGACCCAAACACCCTCAGCCTGTGTTCCTCCCTTAATGTCAGCGACCAAGTTTAACACCCATACAGAACCACAGGCAGAATTATAGTTTTGTATATTCTAATTTTTATTTTAAGATAGCATGCAAGAAGACAAAAGGTTCTGGACTGAATGGTAGCAACCATAACCCAAATTCAATTTCCTCCTGAATCAGGATTTGATCTGTTATATAATTCCCAAATATGTGAACTGTGCCACATTTTAAAAAATATCTGTTAGATATCTTCATATCATGATTTTGCCCTGCATTCTGGTGATGAGACAGTGACATATAATTTTCTCTGTGTTCACTACTAGACCAACCTTCTTACTAATGTCAATTAAAGTCTGTGTTTTTCTTTATGATATCTATATTATCACGCAGTGAATTCACATCATCAGCATAGACCAACAGCTGATGTGTCCCATTTAATTTCAGTCCCACCTGGTTTTCCTGGACCTTCCCAGTGGCATATTCTAAGGCAAAGTTGAAAAACACTGGCAACAAAGCATCTCCCTGTTTTAGACCATTCTGGATAGGAAAATTAACCCACACAGTCTTTACTACACATTTCATTTAAGCACATTTTCACAGCCTAAGTAGTTCCATCGGTAACCCAGACTCTATCAGAATATTGTAGAATACTTCCCTCTTAACTGAATCACAGGCTTTCTTTAAGTCTACAAATATTTGATGTACTGTCTCATTTTTTCTTCATTATCTGATGAATGCAAAAGTTCTGATCAGTTTTAATTACATACAGGGTGTCCCAGGAGGAATGGACCAAACTTCGGGAGGGTGTTCCTTATGTTAAAGTATGCCGATATAACCCAAAACACCCATGTCCAAAGTTGAACGGTTATGGAGATAATGGCCCAAGAAAAGTGTGGTCTTCTGGCAGGTCCACGCATTGTACCTCTCAGCTGAGAGGCTTTATCTATGTTTGTCTTTGAGTGCCGTGATTCACCCTAGCCGTACGTATGTAGTTGGCTTTATCAGAACGCGCAGTCAGCACGTTACGTCAGCGCTTGCCATTCATGTGTCATGTATAGTGCTTGGAAACCCTAAGGACAATTATGACATGGCGAGCGAGTATTTTGTACTTCCATTTTATGGCTTCATGTCACTCACAAGTTAGTTTGATGTTACGTACATTATTAACATTACAGAATCCACATATTCCTCCCAGTTTTAATATGTATTTTGTAACCAACAAGTGTGCAACGCCGGTCAAAGTTTGACACTTCTCTGGCCATTATCTCCGTAACCGTTCAACTTTGGACATAGGTGTTTTGGGTTATATCGGCATACTTTAATATATGGAACACCCTCCCGAAGTTTGGTCCTTTCCTCCTGGGACACCCTGTATATGTGTGTGTGCATCTGTAAATTCAGGTGGAAGAACTGTTCGATCATTATCCAATAAAAAAGTCTTCAATAATCTTTGCATGTCTGGAAGACTTGTTCATTATTGAATACAAAACTTGGGGAAATTTATACAGTGTAACAATTCTAGGTTAATTATATTGAAAACTATAAGACTAACAGAAAATTTTCGTAAGGCATAAAATATGTTTCATTTTCCTCCACATCTGTATAAAGTTCTTTTCCTGCAATAAAAATTTAAGAATTTATGCTTGAGCTATGCACACAGATGCATATAGGTCTTTGTGTAAAGTGTCAGATTTTAACAAAAACTGGAATGCATTGACATTTTTGTGGCCCAGACCCCTCAACATGAAATTTCATGAAAATTTATTTAGTGGTTACCAAGTTGTTGCATACATTCAGATGAATGAAAGGAGCAATTTTAACAGGCTCTGTCAATATGTGTACAAAGCAAATGCTGCACTTACATTGCTTAAATCACACAAAGGTAACAATAATAACCATGCTGACGCTACTGCAACTGATCTGCAGCAAGTGTTGCCAATGCTGAGATATTCTAACGGCATCCAGTGCTGCACATAACATTGAAACAGGAAGTGCTGGGCCCCACCAATATTTAATGCCTTGAAGCATAACAAGTAGTATGATGCATTCAGTACAACATTAATCAGGTTTTTCAAAATCCCTGAAGTTGCTACATTTAAATATATTAATGGTGGACCTTGCTTCAAAGGCTTCACTGGTCGCAGTGCATGGGGGAAACCCACCCCCTCCATAATAATAATACCTCAAAGGCTCTTGTCTGGGCACACTTGTCTATAAAATTTACATCTATTTGCTTAGGGCACTTGATACATGTCATGTCTCTTTGACTTGTTTGAATATTACACAAATTATTCCTCCTACTACAAGAAATGAATATAGATTGTAGGCTTCTGGTTTCATTAACCCCTCAGTGTGGTATGAAGGGTGCTGCTTGTCATGGAGTGCCGAGCAGCGCTTTCATACTGCACTATCTGACTTGTTCTCCAGTCTAGTGAGTACATATGAAGCTATTAAGTTTTGCCTGAAGAAACCTCACAGATAAAGCTGCAAGCTTTAATAGTGACTATGTCATGATGAGCAGCACTCGGCACTGCACGACAAGGAGTTAATGCCCCGCAATCTTATAGGGGAATATCTCCAACTCGAGTTAAAACCCCAGAATCTTGTAGGTGGATACTTCAAGCAAACGGCAGTACACTGGTACCCACATTCTGAACTAGTTAGTATGAACATTTGCTGTCTGAGGAGACAATCATGTACATGTGCCATGGTATAAACTGTATGAACATTGGTGGGCTTTTCCAGGGAGATACAATGATTTATATCTTCACAGATTTCAAATGGTTCTCAAAACTCACATTTTTAGAATATGACCTTTACCATTCTGAATACTGTTTCCATCAGAATTTATGAGGACAAATAATAAATTATTAGAATATGGGGAACAGAAAAGCAACCCCCAAACTGAAGTCTGTGTATCAAAATAAGAGAACAAATAAAGACCCTTACAAAAAGAAATAAAGCATGATCCAAGCAATGGATATGAAATTTCTGAGATGAACTGAGGCAAAATCAAGGAAAGAATGAAAAAAAAAAAAAAAAAAAGNAACTATTTTTCTTCAAAAAAAAAATGATCTGTTAAGAAATTCAGACCACTCGTGCACGTCTGTGACATGGTGGGGCGGTTGGTAACACAGTTGATGTTCCAGCTGTATTCCGTATTGTGCAGTGTATTTATGGCCCTTGTTCAGGAGTCCAGAAAGGGGCTAAGGGACTATCAACTTCAAGGGCATGTACATTTCTTAAGTTTATTTTCTGTACGTCTTATATTTGTGACGGGTAAAATAGTGTTTTTATTACAAATGTGGGCCAACAAAATGTTTGCAGGAACACAGCTCCACTTGTAACATAGTCAATGGAAAATGAGAATTTCATGATACAGACATATTTAAGAACATGTCCCTTCCATAATACAAGGGAGTGCTGTACAGGTAACAGAAGGCGCCGCTGTCCTTACCAGACATGTTACAATAAAACCCATTAGCTTCACAGCCAATTCTATGTTGTATCATTTTGTTGATACTTATGAGAAATTATGCAGCACCAATGATTTAATGTTTAAACAAACCCAAAAGTCACATTACTAACATCAATTCTGTGGATCATGAGACAACTACTGTCAAACAAGCTGTGAATGCAGTCCCCCTCCCACTGCAATCTCCAGATTTTTACAAATCAACATTCTGGGTCCTCCTTTTGTTACAGTGTGATATCCTACATTCATACAATATTCTGCACTTGGTCTGGATTAGCACCATGCATGCCTGAAGCCAATCACAGCAGCTGCCAGCCATGAGTGATACACACAACTTGTAATACAAATGGTACTGATGTAGGAAGGAGCACTTATATACTTTACAACTTTCTTCTCACTCACAGTTATGAAATATGTACACATACAGTTCTATTATAAAATAAAACTTAAAATAAATATATACACCTATATGCCTTTATATGAAGCAATCTTTAATATGTACAGTACTTGTAAATTTCCAGTCCACTGTCATGAGGGGAGCATCCACTGGAAGGTCAATGGTATAAATTCAGAGAGTCTTCGCCACAAGTTCCCATCATTCCCACTTCTACATTTTGTGTACAGGGCAGACAAACATTACACCACCTATTACATACCACTCAAAGCACCAATAATCATACAAATTAGAAAGAGAGAAAGAATCTCTTCCCATACTGCTACGAGTTGAGAGACGAGATCCTGCTGCCATCTTGAGAAAGCCCACAGAGCTCTCCAACAAATTCTCAGTCTTCAACTGGTGGCTGCAAAGAGTCACTGCTAAGTTCTACAGATTTGAGCACTAGATAATTACTTTGCAACTACTGCCTTAAGTCGAGGAATTAAATGTTACAAATGAATAAAAAACTGTACTTTCTTTATCTGCACTGGATGCAGGTTTTGCTTCCTACTAGCTCAAGCCACAGCAGGTGGAGGACTGATGGGGGAAGAAAAGAAAAAAACAAGTATCAGAAAGGTAGTTAATTTTTTTGATATTATTTAAAAATAAATTATCACCATGGAACTAATACTGCTCATGACACAGTATTAGGTCAGTAAATGCTGATCTAAAATATTATTCTTTTCATGGTGATACTTTCCATTATGTTGTAGTTGATGTATGCTGCCAATGACTGATCAGATTGATTTATTGCTAGATTGCCGTGGAACACATTTATCTCTGCACTGCAACGGCAGGAATCAGCGCAGCACACCATTCCTCTAAGTATAGAAAACTGTAAAGTGACAATTCATTTAAAACAGTTTTGCATTACCTGTTTTCCATTTACAAAAGAAATAAAAACTGTTCCAAAACATGGGATTATCAAAATATCTATATTCTGCTGTAATAATAATTATTTAAAATACTACAGGAGGACCCAGAGGGATTCATAAAAACAATATCAACAGGGTAAGCAGCATACATTCAGTCCGCAAACACACTATGCAGCATTCAAGATTAAAAACTGTTTCCTGTAATAAGAGTTTTAAATATTCCTCAGTGTAGTTTCCTGTCAGACTCTAACCAGGCATTCTGAATCTACAGTATACCTGATCGCTTGCACAGCATGTGTGGCACACCTCGACTGCATCGTTCGCAACACTGACAGGTTACAAACGAAATATTGCACATGGCACAGACTGGTATCACTTCCCTGCGTGGGACCCCATCTGATGTCAGCACCAGTCTGCCATGTATGTGAAGTCCCTGAACAAGTTCTGCTCCTCGTCAGTCAAGGGTCTTGGTTCTTTCGGTGGTGTTAACTGCGGCTTCTCTGAGGTGAACTCCTCGTCAAAGTTGCTAACATCTTCCACAGAATGCTGACAACAAGAAAATTCTCTGAGAAACATTTCATCTGTAATACACTTCTCACAACCATTACCCATAGCTCTCTGCAGCATGCAGCAAATTTAAAGAATATTCACAAATTCAGCGCCTGTCAATGGTGTCTAGGGAAATAATCACCACTTATGAAGCACACAATATGGGCAAAATGCGGATCTGAAAGTTAAAGCAGCAGGTGCATACAGGTATCATTGTCTCAAGGCATCAAAGGCTCTTATCATGCTTCAATGGTTCATCAGCAACGAGAAAATGTAACCCACTGCGGACTGGATGGGTGACTGCTAATCTCATCTCTTGAATCTAACTCACTGTGGACTGGATTCTAATGTAAGGACTGGCAGAAGATACAGGAGTCCTAAATTATTCTGCACTTGAACACTGAGCGTGCAATGGCTCACAAATATTTATACTATCACAGTATAATCTCTATAATGGAAATATAACCTGTCTTTTTTATAAACACAGGCGAAATAATGGCATCTTGCTATTAAACTAAAGCGTTCCTGTTACAACCATCATTATTAGTAACTACAGACCTATGTCACTCATCTCGGCTACTTTTACCTCCAACAGATCCACTACCTTCAAGTGAAAATGCAGTGTTCAATATTAGAGGAAATAAATACCATCACTGTAGCTATGTGACATTTTTATCTAATTCTGATGGAATCTGAATGTTAAAATTTTACCAGGTTGTGCTCCGTTTAATATTAACCCTGCCATCATCATCAGCTGTGTCACAGAGGGAGGACCTCTGAAAATATGGCGCTGAGAATATCTGTATCCAAGACAGAGGAAGTACAGGAGGATGTAGAAACTGTTTAATGTGAAACTTTTTTATAATCTGTACCCTTCACCAAATACAGAAAAACTCCCATTTAATGTACCTAAATATAAGGTTTTCCCTCATCTGAAGTTCAATCTCAATGATACCAAGTCAACAGTCGTCATTAGTGTTCAAATCCGTCGCACCCCAAGGAAACCTTACTTAGGGGGTTCACTGTATTATTAGCTGAAGAGGATGTGATGAGCAGGGAGCTCACATAGGAGAAATATGTGTACAAAACCTTTGACAGGATACTTAGAAGAGACAGCCTGGAAGACAATTAAATGGGATCATGATATAGAAATGGCTCTCAGAGAAACAGGGTGGAATTATGTGGATTCACTCATCTGGAGCTCAGCACAGAATGTTTTGCAGGGCATACAATTATATCCATGAAGACTTACCACTGTAGGAACAAATGGAGGCTTGACACGGCGCAATAGTAGTTCATCCCACTGAATGGTGCGAAAAAATGCCTGCTTCTTAACATCTTCAGCATCACGTTCACTTGAGCCCAAACGACGCTCAGGATTCTTACGAAGCAGCTGGAAGAAGCAGACAGGAATTCCAGTCACAAGAACAGGATACAGGATCAGGTACGAGTGACAGCTGTGGAATCTGAATAAGCAGAGTCCTCTGGTTTACCAAACGTTAACTAAGGCAGTGTGTTACAAATGAGACGGAAATGCACTGCTTGTACAAGGGGAACAGTGCAGGAAGCTTCTGTCCCTGTGGCACTGTCTCCCTCCATCAAAACAGAACTTCATTACCAACTGCTGTACACAGGCGAAACCTACCAGACTCTACAAGAACCACTAGAACTGACCGCCTGCTACTTTCAAGGAACTGCCACATACTCTCACCAATGTGTACAGTAGTCAAGACTGTTGAAGTAATATGCAAGTAGTACAGCAGAACTTTTGGGTGCAATTTTAGACCTCATTCCCAGTATTTTATTTTCTTAAATGAGGTCAGTAAACTTTCATTTCTTAATCCGAATGCTATTCCTCCATGGGGGGTTTAGGTATCATATACTGAGATACTGACAGGAAAAGCACATGCCAGGCAAACAGGTGTATCTGCCTGTTTTGTGTAACTTCTGCAATGCCAACTTTTTCATTATTTCAAGTTTGGGCCTATACAGCTGCTTGAGAACAGTGTCTAGGCCTCACACATAGATAAAGGTCACTGTACGTACCCGCCTCATGATGGCAATCGCTTCCAATGACAGAAATCGAGGATACCGGACTTCATCATTTACAATTGAGTCAAAAACTTCTTCCTCATCATCACCTGGGAAAGGAGACTGAAAAGAAGCAGGGAAAAATCAATATTTATTGTTCAACGTGAAAAGTGTGAAGAGGTGAAAAATTATGCCTTCTTCTTCCTCCATGCTGCAGTCTCACACTTCTATCCTTTTCCATGATGTGTAATTTCCACTTCTCAGCATAGTAATAAACTAGTGAAAGTAGAAATCACATACAGCAAGAATGCTGGGACGAAGAAAAAATTGAGTACAGTTTATAATATAAAGGGATCAAACATTACTGCAAACAAATAAGCCATTAAAACAGATCACAACAGCTTTCTCCCCCAAACTCACCGCATGTGAACAACTTCTTTCCTCACTCCACACAGCATATTAATCCCTGTCATAAACTCTCTTATTCAATATCATATTGCAATGTATTTAGTAACTACAGACAGGGTTTGGATTGGCAGCGGGCATGCCACAATATAATTTTGAGAGTTGAGACTGCATCATAAAGAGGTTACAAAATCCATGATTTATTTCAATCGTCTTCCAGTGCATACACTCATCTATCTCCTCCTCTCACTCGCACTACATGTTTCGGCACAAAAGTGCCATCTTCAGGTGCTTATTCAATTTACGCTAAACTAGTTCATTGCATGCCTTGTCTTCATATTAAAATAACTAAAATATATATTTATCATATATATTGATAAATGTTAAATGTTAAAAATATTAAAATTGTTCAGGAATTTTTTCTTCCCTACGTCGTATCTCACTACGCGAGTCACACCTATTTTAATATTTTTAACATTTAACATTTATCAATATATATGATAAATATATATTTCAGTTATTTTAATATGAAGACAAGGCATGCAATGAACTAGTTTAGCGTAAATTGAATAAGCACCTGAAGATGGCACTTTTGTGCCGAAACATGTAGTGCGAGTGAGAGGAGGAGATAGATGAGTGTATGCACTGGAAGATGATTGAAATAAATCATGGACTTAAATCAGTGCAACAGGACACTAAAATATAACAAGGTTACAAAATTGTTGTGAAGTATCTACCTCTCCAACAAGCATCTCAAAAATGAGAACACCAAGGCCCCACCAGTCCACAGCACGCGTGTATGAAGTTTCAGTCAACACTTCTGGTGCTAGAAACTCAGGTGTGCCACAGAAGGTTCCAGTTCTATCCCCGAAGTCCATGCCTTCCTTGCACAGGCCAAAATCAGCGATCTTCACATATCCCTCTGTGTCCAGCAGCAGGTTATCCAGTTTCAAATCCCTGCAAGCACAGAACATGTCCTGTTAGAATCAGTATTACAGTACAGTACAGTAAAATGTACACAAATTATTTTTATAATGAGCTCTTGTTACATCTACATTAACCCTTAGCTGTACTGATAAGGGATTAAATTTCCAGTGCTACAGGCCTGAGTAGCAGGAATCTTCCTGGGGGTAAAGTGCGACCGGTGTGTAAGGCTGACAACCTTACCGCCACCTGTGAGCCAACTTGCCTAGAGAAAATGTGCGAGCCTCGTTGTCTCACAACCCCATGGGTCTTCACATCCTGTTACAAGGATTGCGTTACCTTTGCCACTTGGCTGACTCACCGGTAGATAATCTTACTCTCGTGCAAGTACTGTAGGCCCAGCACAACACAAGCAGCATAGAACACAGCTCGTGGCTCCGTGAACACATCAGCGTGGATGTGCATCATGAGGTCCCCACCAGCGGCATACTCCATCACAAAGCAAACATGTGCCTGCAAACAAACCAGATGAAGGGGAGGCTGGCTTCTGGGATGTGACACCGTGTAGTCTGGTAAGCATGTTCACCAGACTGCATGGCATCACAGTACTCTTCAGAACAGGCTTCATGTATACAAACGTAACTTCCTTGCAGCATTCACAAGAGATGCATGCATGCGTGTATATACAGGTCACACTTCTTGCCCAAAGTTTCAGTCCAGAAACATGGGTGTAACCTGCTTGCAAGCGCACCTGTGCGTGTAAAAATGAACATGCACGTATGCACACAGATTTAACACTTAAATGCCCAAAAGAGTGCCACGTTGCTTATAACACAAATGAACCCCATAATTTTGAGGGAAAAGTTGGAGAAAGGGAATGGACAAGAAATATTATGCTATTATGCTTCACGGTATCCGTTGCGGACACTGTCTACAGGAATGTTTCTCTAACTGTGGTCCACTGTGGTCTGTGGTATTATAAGACAATGTGATTATAAAATAATTTCAATTAAGAATTGTGGTAAATCATGCTTCAAAATCATTACTTTAAGTTGAAGGACAGAGAAAAGTGGTTTACTGCAACTTCAACTATAATTTTTCTTCTATTCGCAGCAAAAAGGGCAAATACATGCCCTTTGCAGCTAAGGGGAATGTTATTTTAGCTGAGCGGTCTGAGCACGTACTGACAACCCCCATACAAGTCCACAATTGCCAAAACTTGAGAAACAATAGTGCAGAGGATATGTCAAGAGTGTATAAAACAGGTGCTCAGTAGTTTGGGCAGTAGCACTTCCCTACTGGACAGAACCATGCTCCACACCGTTACCCCTAATTCTGTTGTGACATTTATATACCAGGCTGCATCCTCATTCCATCTCACCCTGAATATGGCAACTGGAATGTAGGCTGAAACAACTAAACTCCAAAAGCCAAAATTAAACCTCAATCTAAATCTGGGTCAAGGAAAGAATGAACACATCTGCCTATCAGCTATTTCTCCTGTGTGTGTCTTAGCCCAATCCCACCAGGTGTCATCTATACTAAGGTTATGGTTCTGCTTCTCTCTGTGCACTCTCGGTTTGTTCTTGTGGCCAACTCCAACCCGTGCCACTCATATTCATTCTTTCCCTGATCCAGGTACAGTACTAACCTCTGTCTGGAAGCAAGCAAACAAGTTAACTAGGAACGGGTGCCGCATGGTGTTGGCAACTTCGAAGATGCGTTTCTCTGACAGCAGTGATTCCACTTCATCTCGGGCAATGATGTCACCTTTCTTCAGTGCCTTGATGGCAAAGTACTCACCAGTGTTGCGATACTGTGTCAGGATCACCTGCACAATCACAATGCGCATGACACCACTCAAACAAACACACAACTGTGGATACGTTACATCTGACAATGTAGATTGTCTAGATTAACTAGAGTGATGCGAGGCAACTGAGATGTGTTGCAATGTTCTCATTGGAATTCAGTTTTATTTGTGGCTGAAGTAAAAGTTTTACAGCTGCTTCAGTAAAACTGCTGGAAAAATTCATCCTTTGGGGGGAGGGGCGCGCAGTTAACCTCGTAACGAGCACTGGGCCTTCCATACCCAAACACAAATCATTAGAATCTCCAAAACTGAGAACACAAATGCAAATAACAGGGGCTAAAATGACATTTGCCTGATTTTCTGCTGCCATAGCATTTACCAGCCCCCATCATATGATGTTAAAGCCTACATAAGACACTATGTTGCACACTGCTAGGTGACTACTATGTTCAGCCATTCATCCTTGCCACAGACGAGGTGCTTATGGTGCTCCACATGGGATTTATGGCACACAAAGTGGCACTGGAGTATGCATTTCTCTCAGTACTTCACTTTTTCCATGCCAATTATTGTCCTACCTGTGCTCCATACTCATCTATCGTCTGGGGCTGGTGCAGCAGGAACACTTGTGAGTGCAGTAGCAAGGGACTCACATTCACACGACTCCAAGAATAAAGCGTTCCTCTCACAAATCGCAGAATACAATGCAGTGTCACAACCCTGACAAGCACGATGTGTACATAAGATCTAAAGACATTCTCTCATTAAACATCGGACCAGTCAACCCAGCCTTGGACATCTCTCCCATCTGGACTCCTGTAATCACAGCAGAAGGGGGGAGGCACATGCACGCGAAAGGAGAAAAAAAAAAACTCTGTCCAGTACAGATTGAGTGGGATAAATCTGTTTTTCTTGTGTTGGTACCATACGGAGAATTTTGTCTCTCCAGTGATGATTTTTATCTTGATAGTTCTCTGGTGCAAGGCCTCATACATGTAGTTTCTTTAACATTTTAATGTTTTGTCTTAACTCTCGTAAATGATTTGTGCTGTGCTTGGCTTGTATACCCTGTCTTGGTGCTGGTACAGGTGTCCACATACAGAGGCTAGCTCTACCGACTTTGCCAAACTGAGAAGGTTTCACAGGAAAGCAGAGATAGAAGGCAGTATCTGAAACGTTATGTTTTGAAATATAAACAGGCCAGTGTTCTAGATAAAAACTGGATGAAGGACAATGTCCAGAAACATATTTGTTCTAATAATGTGTATATATTAATACGATGCCATGTGCAAAGGCTGAGAAATGCAGTTCTGTACAAATCTTCAGCCTTGAACTTGTCACAATATTCAGCTGTTTATATTCACCTTGCCAAAGTGCCCTCGCCCCAGTACACTAAGTAAACGGAAGTTGTCCATGGACATGCCAGAGAACTGTGAATGTCTCCGTGACTCATATGCACTGTCTCGGTACTCCAGTCCACGACCAGATGGGCGCCGCACTACTTCTACCTGTTCATACACAACCTGCCAAATATATTTGAAGTCTGTTAGCTCATATTGTACAATGTGATTCATTTAAGGCTGTATCCTAATAATATAATGACATCTCTTAAAACATGGTCAAGAGGACTGGTGTTAAATTCGGAACAATGGACAACACTTCCAACATGATTTGTGAACATTCATTTATGTTTTATGTTGAAAAAGACATGAAGTACAGTGTTATGTATTTTAAGAATAGTTTAAAACCGAATATTCTGCATATTGCAAAACTACCATTCCCTTCTCTACTGCAAGATCCTTATGCTTAAGGCCCACAACATGTCTTAAGCATATGAGCAGGGCAGATGGTAAATTATACAATACCTGGCCAGGCCAAAACACAAACACCCTTCACACGGACATCCTGCACTTGTACTCCCAGAAGGGATCTTACTGAACATAGTATAGTACTTCTGCTAACTTAAATGTGTAAGCCATTCAATTCCACAAGCTCCTTCATGCCATATCAAACAGTTTAAGTGAAACTCTAAACTTGTACTCAAATGTTCATTATATTTTAACATTTAAAATCCCATGCCTGTAATGGTATGGGCACCTGCAATGTAGTACACCTGTTGCAGCCCCACCATTATGGGTGTGAACCTTATAAACGTCCACAATTCACAGTTTTACCTGATGATGGAAGTGGAGCCCACTTCCAGAAATGTGTTTCTGTGCCCTGTACATCTGTCAGTGACAAGACAATTACAGCCCATTTCCTCTCCCGCACTGTCAACACCAACCCAGGTACAGCAGGTGGAACACAACAACCAGCAAGGAAGAAATGAAGTTAACAGACCCATCCACATGCCAGACACCATTCCACACTCAGAAGACATGTCCCTCTAAAGGCATGACTTATGTCTGTAGGACATGAACATTGTTAAACTTCCCATATGCAAAAAGGAACAAAACCTGATCTAGGGACCACGTGCATTAACCTTAACGACAGTGCATCACATGGCACATGTGCCCAGTCCAGAAGGCTGATAATCACCTCTCTCTCAATTCTAATACAGCCTCCTTTGCCCCAATTAAGAGGCAGTCCCCAGCCCCTGAAGTATCAAAAGATTTAAACCCCCATTTTCCTTGACGATAAACTGTTCCCCCTCGAGCTAAAATCAGCTTCCCAATGTTACTGATAAAATATTTAAAATCCCTTATTTATGGATGGAAAATGTTTATAGCAACTGGCATTTTTCACCTGCTTTTCTTTAATTTGTGCTTTATCTGTCACCCAATAAGTATGCTTCTAGGTTCACTACATCTCCTTGTTCATCAAAATGTGCAGTGTCACAAACATAAGCTTCTACAGTGACGGCCAGGCGCACAAACATAAGCTTCTACAGTGACGGCCAGGCGCACAAACATAAGCTTCTTCAGTGAGGGCCAGGCGCACAAACATAAGCTTCTACAGTGACGGCCAGGCGCACAAACATAAGCTTCTTCAGCGAGGGCCAGGCGCACAAACATAAGCTTCTACAGTGACGGCCAGGCGCACAAACATAAGCTTCTACAGTGACGGCCAGGCGCACAAAAATAAGCTTCTTCAGTGAGGGCCAGGCACACCGGTAATTGACTAGCTGAACACATTCCTTTTGCATATGGTAATCATGGATGAGATTTCAGTAACTTTACAATGCAAATCTTCTGAGTTTGGGATGGCCATAATAAATCAATTTTGGTCCAACATTTCTGTGCAATTTCCACAAAAACACAGAGCTAAAAGACACATTCTAAGTAAAGGAGGATAGATTACAGAAGGCTATTCAACTACAATATATATATATACATATATTAAAAATGAGTTACGGGTTCTGCAGATTAAACACAGTTTACAGTTCTGACAAATGTACACCAAAACGAAGTAGACATGTCAGTGTCAACCTGTCAGGGGTGAAGCGCAGTGAAGGTTATTGAATCTCCAAGCAATCCAGAATTCTCATCTAACTGGCAGAAATTTTCGAGGAAATTTACCATTTTTATGAAGTTATTAAAAATAAAATTTGTGATGTGAAAATGTTCATCTGCCATGTGGTAGTTCTCCCAGCCGCCAACAGTTGTCCTCCCTGATGCAGGTGCCATTACAGTAAAGGCTAATTGAATTTGTGATCATTTTACAGTATATGTATGTGGTCTCTTCAAAAAGTTTCAGAACTTCTGAAATAGCGCGCCAACTCGACGTCTTAGCAACTTCAGGTAAGTTATGCTGCCTAGTGGCGTGCTTCCTCATTATCATCTTTGCCATGTCATCACTAGGGACCAGATTTTAATGCAAATGCATATTTCTTTCTTGCAACCAGAGAGTATGCTTGTTTGGATATATGTATGAATTACTTCATTTCTTAAATTTTGGACATGATTTGATGGTGCATATAAATGCATATTTTGCATGTTTTATGAATAAGCATCTATTTTCGAAGATCTCTATTTATACTGCATATTTCCCTTTTAAAATGTTTATCATATATATTTTTTAATTTTATGTTTTTAATTATGGTCGTGTGTATACAATTTTTCTTTTCCGCGATAGAATATGTTGCATATCTGACTCAACATTTCGTCATGATTCATGTTTCTGATGCAATACCCAGGACGGGACTTCCTCGATCCCTGTACTCGTAACTTGCCTCATCCGCGTACCCTCAAAGTGGCCGCGAAGATATTAGCCGGAAGCGTCCACATGTAGCAGCTATCAATGTAATACTATTCAACCGATAAGGGACTTCACTTATTTATTTCCGAAGTCTCCATGAGGTTCGTTACTCTTCTTCATTTCAAGCTGGGGCCATTCATATTAGTGGTGACTAGTGTGTAGTTACGTTTGTTTAGCGTTCTGCAGTCATGCCGAAAGTGAAAGTAAGTCAGAAAACTAAATTACAGATGTATCAGCGGGAGTTCGAAGGAGAGATGATAAGTACGGATAACGAAAGCGTGTGAGAAAACAGCTGGTTGTGAAAAACGCTTTCAAGTGCTTCAGCATTTGAACACTAATATACGCAAAGAGAATATTAAAACTAAACCCACGAAAAGTGCACCTGTTCAAAAATTGCGTAGTGAATTTTCTAATAATAGTTTTTCAGTTTTCCTTTGATTTATGCGAAGCCTTTTTAGCGGCGGATATTCCGCTGTGGAAACTAACTAATCCTACTCTGAGAAACTTCATAGAGAAGTATACACAGTGCAAAGTGCCAGATGAATCTACTGTGCGCAAAAATTACGTGAAGCTGTGTTACGATCTTACAGTTGATAGCATTAGAGATAAGATTCAAGATAATTTTGTGTGGGTATCAATCAATGAAACACAAGATTGTGAGGGACAGTTTATTGCAAATTGAATACTTGGATCCCTTAATAAGAATGAATAATCTACTCCATATCTTCTTGCGGTAGAGCAATTTAAAACCACAAATTGCTCAGCAGTTTCCGGATTTTTTTCAATTCCATGAATTTACTATGGCCGAATGGCATTCAGTATGAGCACGTATTGCTCTTAAAGTTAAATTTCCAAACATGACACATTTGACTTGCCTTGCCCATGGGTTGCACCGTGTTGCAGAAACAATTCGTGCAAATTTTCCGCTTGTTGACAAGTTGGTGTCTTCTGTGAAGAAGGTATTTGTTAAAGCGCCATACAGAAAAGAAGCCTTCAAAGCAGTAGCACCGAGCGTTCCACTTCCGCCAGAACCAATTTTAATGCGCTGGGGCACGTGGCTGTGTGCAGCGAGTTATTATACCGAACATTTAGAAACAGTTAGGAATGTCGTGAATACATTTGATCCCAAAAGTGCAGCATCAATTCAAATTGCCCAANCAGAACTAGAAACTAATCTTTCCTATATATCTGCTCACTTCTCTCATCTTCCATCCGCCATTTCCTCACTGGAGGCAAGCAATAGCAATACTACTTTGTATCAGTCATTAAGTTTGTTCAACACCACTGTTTCCAAATTGAATTCGGTTCCTGGAAGAGTCGGTGAAGTAGTAAAGGAAAAAGTACACAGCATTCTTTCAAAAAATCTAGGATTTGTGAAATTGAAGAAACTTTAACCGGTAAATGTACTGAACTGCCAAGTAAAAGATCACTAACAGTGGAGCAAATAGCGGCTTTTGTACATGCGCCCCTAAGTTCCTGTGAGGTGGAAAGAAGTTTTTCCCGCTATAAGGACATCTTACGAGACAATAGGAGGCGACTAACTATGGAAAACCTAGAACATTTAGTAATTGTGAACTGCAACAGAAGAGAAGTTGAAAGTTTGGAGAGCTAAATGTGAGTACCATTGGTTTTTTTAAATTTGTAATGAAATATGTTGGCTTTGTTGCATGATTTGTGTTTAAGTATAGCTTTTTATTGCAAATGAATCATTCAGTGATTACATAAAATGAACTTAAATATTGATTTGTTAGTCTTAAAATAATGTAAAATCAATTTTAATATTTGGTATAAATTTTTATGTGCATATTTTAATGCATATTTCGGAAGTTTTTATTGCACAAATGCATACATATTTAAGGGATTATTAGGGCATAAAAATCCGGTCCCTAGTCATCACCCTAGAGCTAACTGTTCACATGCCTGTAGTGTGTGTCTTGCGTTATTTGAGATGGCTGTTATCCATGAGCGTGAAAGTTATGTTGACGGCTTTTTACACAGCGAGGGTGTTGTGCAACATGAATTCTTATGTCAGGGAAAACAGTGAATTGCTGGTATTACCTCAAAGTGACGAAACGTCATAAGAGAAAATGTCAGGAGAAAAAGACCTCAGCTGTGGAGAGACAACTCCTGGTTCCTCCATCATGACAATGCATCAGCTCATGCATTGCTACTGATTCGTAACTTTTTGGCCAAAAAAATACAATTGTGCTTCCTCAGCCACCCTGCTCACCTGACCTGGCTCCAGCAGACTTCTTATTTCTCAAATGGAAATCATGAATCAGCAGATGTGAAATCATTCTTTTGCCCATAAATCTGCTGTCACATAAGAAGATTCCCACGCAAGAACTATAAAGCAGGAATGTGTTGTTTTCATTCTGTATTACTTTTCTCTAAGAGGTTTTCTCATGCAACCGGCACACCCCACCCCCCACACATGCCATATAGTGACAAGCTTACTGTGATATAACACTTTTTAACCCTATACTGCACGGGCAACCCAGAATAGATCACACAAACAAAATACAATTAAAATATAAATCTGTGAGAACATGTCAAAACACAGTTCCAATGTTATGAAGGTTTAGTGTCTTGCATAGCCTTAGGTGGTTTGTTTTTGGAATGCATCACCTGACAAGCAAAATGGTGTGATTTACTTTCTGGTTGAAAATGCTCAAAAACTTACATAAATATGACTTTCTCCCTTATACCCTGCAAAGTCTGGCCCTCACCCCATGCGACTATCACAAAGTGTGGCCACCAATTTTCAAAACGTGAAACAGACAATGCACATTCAACTTCAGGGCTATGGGCTAGATGGCAGTGGTTCAATTCCTGGCAGAGGCAAGAGTCTGTCCCCATTCCACAGCATCCAGACCAGCTCTGAGGCCCACTCACCCTCTTATTCAGTGGGAGCTGGGGGTGTCCTCCCTGGAGATAAAGGGGCCCAGTGTGAAACTGAACTCCCCCACCAACTAGTGCAGAGATCAAGAAAGATGGAACCATACCTCCACTCCTCCATATACCTTCATGCTGTGGTGCTTCATTAACTATACAGACACTTGTTACCTTTCGTCTCTTGGTATTTTGTGGATCTGACAAATAATCTGCCTTTACATTTTGAACCATTTCTCAATTCAGAGCAGCACAATAAAATCTGGGCAGTAAATATCAGAAGGCAAGTGCCAAACGCAACTCCAAGATGCACATGATTTTTTGAAGTCGTTCACTCATAAATATACAACAATCTTCAATTTCTATCATAATACACCTATTAAATGTATTAGGCCTGACATTCATCCAAAACACACTGTACCCCTATTCAAAGAAGACTCGGTTAATGCTGCATACAGAAATGATCAGCGGTTATTCTTACAATAGAAAAAAAAGGGGGGAAAGAAAGAATACACTCTGTGGGTAGAACACAGAGTTTTTAAATGTTACCGCACATGTTACATGTAGGAACCACTGTGTATAAAGAGTTACGAGTGGCTCATAATTAAGAAACTCTCTGATGACAAAAGGTAATATGTGACCTGCCTGTCTATAAAAGAAGCACATTTTGGCATTAGGGTAGTAGGAACACGAGACGCTAAAGCCCACAGCACCTCTAAACTGGTTCTAACAAAAGAAGGGTCCCATGCACCTTACTTGTTAGTGGGCATCAGAGACTGGAAATGCTACCATCTTCAGAGTTACCAACTTTGGGTCTCATCTCAAAAATCCAATGATCCAACAATAAGAATTCCTTGTGACTTAGGCTCTCAGAATTCCTTCAAACCATTTCTAAAACTTCACACAAATAGGCATTGTTAGAAATAAAAACAGCACTCACCAAAAAATGTGTTTCTCATCATGATGCACAAACCAAACATACAATAACAGCAATTCTCCATAGCGTGCATGCAAGTACCTGACGAACCAAATGAACTGAAAAGAATCAGAGAAGTAACTAACTCACTAAGTACCCACCTGGCCAATTAATGATCTAACTCCACATAACTGAGTCCTTTTTGAGAAGATAACAGTCACTCAGCTAGTCAAGAAATTCCCTGTATTTTACAAAACATGAAGTTGATCAGTCGACCCCTGTCCTCAGTTAGATTAATCTGTTACACATCCTCACAACTCCCTTATATACTCTTTAATATCTTCTCCCATCTCTGTCTAATACTTCTTAGCGGTCTTTTTTCCATTCAAGTTTTCCTATCAGAATTTTGTATACATTTCTCTTTCCTCCCACGTCTGCTACATGCCATAACCCAGCTCATCTCCTTGATTAGTAATACCATTTGATGAAGAGCACAAATTACGAAGCGCCACTGCAGCCTGCTGTCGCCTCCTCCCTCTCACGTCCAGACATGCCCTTCCCCTCAGCACCCTATTCTCAATCTACTGCAGTCTACAAGCACAGACAGTTAGTTAGTTTACAAGTTCATTAGTGTCATGGCAACATTCACGTTAAATGAAGAAGACAGTTGCACAAAGAACAGCTCCCAGCTGGAACAAGGAACGGGAAGCACCTTCTGTAGGTTCCCGGACAAAAGCACAAGCCTCATAGTACGACAAGGGGGTGGGGTCTGTACCTCTTCCTCTGGAAACTGGACCACGGGTTCAGGTGAGGGTGAACGTTGCTCCGGAGTGCTAGCCGATGGCCGAACAGTGGGTGGTGGCGGTGGGGGGCCCAGGTCAGGTGAACCACGTTCCTCTGCATGCAGGAAGTCAAACTCCCGCAGTGCACTCTGCAGCTAGAAAATATCATGGGACGACTCGAGGGTGACAGTGCACTACAAGGGGTGCATCAAGCTTATGCTGGACACCGTCAGATAACGCATATATCTTCCCGTGTGTGACTCAACCTTCCCCTATTGTGCTACATCAAGTGCTTTCCTGACACTGCCATTCCAGTTATCGGAGTGGGATATGAATATACAGGTTAATTAAAAATGAAGTAAACCCTTTCAGATATTAATAAAATACTCAATCATTCCACAGTGATGCCACACATACCAAAAGACAGCTAATATGCTTTAGCCTAATGGAAGATAAAAATGTGATATCTTTCCTGTCCATTCGAGGCTGCATCTGCTCCAAGGATCCACCACAACAAAAGTCAATGTACGGGTGGTGTAAGCAGTTTCAAATCAAAGACTGCACTTCCAGCTGTTCTTACATCATTGTCTGTCATGTGACTTGTGGGCTCGACACTGAGAGTCCATAAGTCTGTATCAGTCTGTGTGTGTCACATAAACATCATAAGAATAGTTAAAATTCTACAATTTTTAAAGTATTTGCTATGTTCTGAATTACCTTGTAGGATTTCAGGCACAGTGCCAGTAGATTACTTATCTAACAGCAGGAATACAGCTCTGTGCAAAATTACTCCAACACCAGCCAACGAACTCAAAAAATATACAATGTGCAGCAACAGGGGGACATGTGACACAGTTCTTCAGGAACAATGCATAAGAGAGGTGCAAGAGAATGCGAATTACTACACAACAGACAAATCTGTTCATTTCCTCTACTATCAGTTACAGAGGATACAGAATAAGTCAACTGTCATACCTCAACATCAAGCCTCGGAGGGGGTGGAGGCGTGGGCAGTGGTGAGCTTCGCTTCTTCTGGGCAACAGCTGAGGGAAGTATTGGCACAGATACAGTAGCGTCTGGAGGCAGAGGGGGAAGTACAGCCACACCCAGTCCCAAGGGGCGTGTCCCAGACAGTCCGCCTGCTTGTGGATCAGGTGCCTCGCCAGGCGCTTCAGGTTTGTCTTCTGTCAAGGACATGTCGAATGACAACTGAAGGGGCTGCATACCTGGAAGACAAAACAGTGCACACCCTCGATTAGCTGTACTCTATTTGTGACAGCAGACAGCCATCTGCCTCCATAGGAACCCTAAGATAAAACAGTGTAAGTTTCCCAAATGTGTGGAGAATTTAATTGCATGAATTTCCTAAACAGAAGATAATTTCATTTTCAGTTTTCCTTACAGAACCCAATATTTTGTGCCAGTGACCAGAACCAAGTGTCACTATAACAAATGTGTGAAGTCTCGACACAATCTTTCTTAATAATGGCACCCTTCTGAATATTACCTCAGAAGTCACTAGAACTATAAACAAGAAAGAAACAGAACTGTATATGACATCTTTCGTTGGTGCACTTCCCACTTCCACAAATGTTCAATGAGGCCGCCTTATGCAATGCGAACAAGGTGCCGTCTGTCCCGTCTTAACTGTGACAGCAATTGCAATAATCCTTATCCACAGTTCATCAAAAGTTTGTGATGAGGGGGTTCAGTAGACAGGGACCAGGCAATGGGCCCTGCTGCACCAACCCATGCATTAGATGTCTATATTATGGCCACTTTCTGTGCCTCATATCCTGAGTCATTCCGTCTACCCATCTTGCCACTGACATAGTGTGTGGCATCATTGTTAGCTCACATTTTCACAAGTGCAGCCTAATTTACAAAGACGTTCTATGACGGTACAATCAGTTTAACGAAATATTCCATGCAAGTGAGCAGCACTAAAAGACAAAAGTGCACAATGAGGTAAGTTCCAAGTGCAAGGTATTCTGAAAGCGGTTAAGATGGTTAGCATTTCAGTTTACTTCTCGAGGTATGAACATACCTGATGGAGGACTTCCTGAGGTTGGCTGAGTGTGGTTGTTTTGGATTGAGGGTGATGACCTTTTGAGCAAGCGGCCCCATGTTGCCACATTTATGTTCATCTGATTTGGTCGTGGGAAGTTCTTCACTTGTTGCTTGAAGATTTTTCTTTGTCTCTGGAGCTTTGGCTTCCGTGATATCATTGGATTCAAGAATTTTATCTAAAAACATTAATAAAAATGTATTTTTTTTTTGGAATATTTTATAGGAAGACCAAATATACCAAATCCACATAATGTATCAAACCGAAGAAAATTCAGCACTGACACTAAGGACAATAATAACACCGCAGACGTCTTACTATACAGTTAACCTGCACTCCATTAACCCTGTGGACTCTGCGTCAAAGGACACCCCATTTCTTGGAGGCCAAATGAGTTAAGATCCAACCCGTGTCACACCTACCACCTGTACACAATACATCAACTCTCCTTACATTATACAAGGAAAATATACTAACATTCTGACACATGTCTGAAGTTCTCACAGCAGTGACTATGAATGGTAAGGTTTTCTTTTNCACATAATGTATCAAACCGAAGAAAATTCAGCACTGACACTAAGGACAATAATAACACCGCAGACGTCTTACTATACAGTTAACCTGCACTCCATTAACCCTGTGGACTCTGCGTCAAAGGACACCCCATTTCTTGGAGGCCAAATGAGTTAAGATCCAACCCGTGTCACACCTACCACCTGTACACAATACATCAACTCTCCTTACATTATACAAGGAAAATATACTAACATTCTGACAGATGTCTGAAGTTCTCACAGCAGTGACTATGAATGGTAAGGTTTTCTGGGTTGTAACACTGTGTAGTTCAAAGGGAGTCTGAGCTTCTAAGCTTGCCACCTGCTTCTGCTGGTTTCTTGCTTGGCTTAATCTTCTACCCTCAAAATGGAAGTGACATGTTATCCATAGCAACAGGCACTCATATATATGTACTCTTCATTTACAGGGCCACACAGGCCAACGCTTTATACATTCATTCATACAAAGAGGGATTACACTGAAGAATTTTACTGTGAATATTACTCTTATCTACCATGTAGTCTAACAGACTGTTACGATCATGCCTGCTGCTCCCATCATCAGGGCACAAAGTTTACTCTTTTGCCCTGAAGATGAAAAAAGCAGATTCCTCCAAAATGGTGGGAACAGTCTACCAAACTGCATGACATCATATCTGTGACAGAAGTAACTGAACCTCAAATCTCATGTTCAAATCACGGTCTTGTGAATTGGTTGGTGGGTACAAATGTTTCACAGGGTTATACTGTCTCTACCTTCAGGGCAGGAAGATTCTGTCAATACACACTTCCCAACAGACTACACAGTGTCATAACCTAGAAAATCACAATTTAAGTGTTGTTTGTTTCTTTGTAATGCAAGAACTGATACCTGGTCAGTACATATTCAGTTGGTGACTTATATCTGGATTTTAATCACAAGTATAAGATGGCTAGGCCAGTTTTCAAGTGTTGCACCATAGTGAAGGCTTAGCAGCATACAGTTTTCAAGTGTTCCATCATAGCGAAGGCTTAGCAGCATAAGGTTTTCAAGTGTTCCACCATAGTGAAGGCTTAGCAGCATACAGTTTTTATACATGAGTTCATTTCACACAGAGGGATGTGCATCACATATAATAAATCACACGACAATAACCAAAACACTTACAAAGCTGAGGTTTTATGAAAGTTCTTTGTATACCAAAGGGCACATGAAAACTGAAATAAACTGTGTATATCAGTGTCTTGTGGAGCACACTCTGATCATTACCTCTGCAAAAAGCAATCCCTGAGGTTCAAGTTGTAGTGCCATACCATGGCGAATATCATCAATGAACTCTTCCAGACGCAAGAACTTGATGGCACAAAGAGATCGCCAATCGCGCCAGTATATACCAATCTCCAACTCCCGAGATTTATCTAGGTCAATCGAAAACCTAAAAAAAAAAGAAAAAAAAATTACAGTGATGCCACTACTACTGACAATCCCTCCTACATACATTCAAATTTGGGCTCTCCAACATACAAACCAAAAACATGAACTACTGAAATGCATTGACTGGTGACATGAATAAGAATATGTGGTTCAGGATATGGTTCAATTGTATGCTTTTCTGGAGATGGTGACGAACATCTGGGTTCCTTTACAGCCCTTGGACAGTCAAGCCCCACTGCAGAACTACCTGCTAGAAATGTGAAGTCTGACAGTGGTAAGGGTGGCTGCATAGAGAAACCCACAACAATTCTCCCAAATGACCTTCAAACAGCAAGGGAAATATAACAACTGAAAGAGTGTTCCTTCTTGTAAACACTGTTATGTCATACCTCATGTCATCTACTGACACAAATGCTAGAGCAACTTATTTATAAGCTGATCTGTCCAGCTCTGGCAAATTTCCAATCCAGCCAGGTTGCAGTGTGCTGACAGTAAATCAGTATCAAAAGCTGTAACACATTTTACCATGATAATTCTCCTTAAAGATATACACCTTGTGTTGCAACCCTGCATCTATACTGATAGTATAATGTAGTTGCAGGGAAGCCTTAATCTCTGCACATGCTGCTTGCCCCTTTCCAGAGCAGACGAGGCAGAGGGAGATGTGCACAAAAACAAATAACCACTCATCTACATGAAGTTACCTTTGGTCCCAAGCCTGCTGAGAACATGGCCTCCAGTTTGTTTGAGCCACTGTCTGGTTGTCCAGCTTTATAACTGCCATTATCTCATCTGCAATCAATGACAGAAGAATACATACCACTGCAGCACAAGGGAAGAAGCACAAAACACTTTCTACAACACACCTAACACCAAACAATTAAACCCACGATTAAAGAAAACAGAAAATGTGAATGGCACACAAGAATATTTCATTCTTCAGAAAACTGTTTAATTGCACCGAAGGTAGTATGGAGGAGTGTACCATTGCTGTTGTTCTGTTGGGACTGGGGCAGGAAACATGAGTGTCACACTACACTTACTGCTTGTCTCGTCCTTGACACTGTATGACTTGCTGGAGCTGCGTCCTGTCACACCTTTGACAAAGGATCGCAGGTCACCTGGACTCGACAAAACATCCTTGTCTCTCCGCGATCTCCCAGGAACTTCCTCCAATAGGTCTTGACAGCCCATCAATCTGTAGTGATACAATTCAGTCAAGTCATTCAATTTTGTCTTCAGAAATGTCACCTCTGATGGGCACAGTGGCACCTGTAGTGCTCATTTACTGGATCACATTTCACCCCATGGGGCTCAAAGCATAAAATCATATCTACCTCTCTTTAAACCTGTAACACTTATAGAAAAGTGCACTGGACATATGATATGTCCATCTTCTTCTAAAATTTATGTTAAACACACGTTTCACTGATAAATATTTAGTGTTTTATGTTTGAAAATCACACAGAAACACATGTCAGTCTTCATGTAAAGTGTCCATTATTATTTTCTAATTTCAGTCACAAATGGAACATGTCAACATACTCAAGTGAACTCCCAAACCAACATATCAGATCTCATGCACATCAATTCAGTCATTCTTGAGTTGCTGCATGGGGACGAACAGCCATGGTGAAGCTAAGCAATGCATTTTTGCAACTTTTCACTGCAAATATGCCAGAAACAGGTCAAGTGACAACTTGATACAACTCTGTGTTGTCTGTTCAAAGTCAACTGATGCTTTAGAGGAATATAACAAAGAATAAGCCAAGCAAGACACCAGCATGCAGAGCTACGCTCTGAAATCCTGGCTGAATTTCGACAGACATATAGCAACTCACCTCACTTCCAGCTTCCCAGTCACTGCGGCACACCGAGTGAAGGATGAGGGTGTCAGACCAGCTGACTTGGTGCCATCCCCCTGCCCATGGAAGGGCTGCAGACTGGTGTACGTGACGGGAACTGGGCTAGCAGCCTGCACATTCTGCAATTCCCTCTTCAGTTGGGCAGCTGTGGGAGAATCAGGCGGAAGTTCCTGTCTGCGAAGCTCGAGTGACTTCCGCAACAGATCCAACTTCCAACTGGACTCTGCAAGACTTGCCTGTGCCTGCAAGTAAAGAACTTTCATTAATAAATCACACTAGCAGCACTCTGTGTTAAGATATTCAAGGCTGTACGGAGAAGACGGTCGCTTTTATACGTAAAAGTAGAGCATGAAGTGTGATGCAACTGAGGTGTATATGTGTTGTGGAGGCAAGGATCCACATGTCTGAAACCTCAGCAACAGAAAGTGGCCAACTGATGATCAGTCTCACTATCTTCTGAGAATAAACTGATACTACCAAGCAATGAACCTGGCTATTCAGCCAAACCTCACTATCTTGCCACTCATCAGGCATGTGATTCAATATACATTAACATTTCTCACTCAAAAACACCTCTGCTGCAGAGTAAAATGCCATGTACCCTTTCTTCAGTGATAACTTAACTGTTATCCCAAACTACATGTTACCATGCAATATAAATTTGACAAGATATACAGATTTCTCATTCTAAACAAATTTTATTTTATTCCATGCACAGAAAATGTGTAGAAGCTGTCAAGAAATTTCTTTAGTCCATTCTGACCAATGTGTGCAATAATCACTTTAACCATGCCTCTCTAATCTTATCAAACACCTGAACCACTTACCTGTACAGCTTACTAAGCCCTGGGAATGCGTGTACCTTTGGTAGTTTCACTTGCTACAAGTTATACTCTTCTCTTAATTTCTTCTTGAATGTCATTTCTATTGGTCAGGGCCGTTCTCAAGTATTGTAGTACTTTATTGTCTTAAACATCAGATGTAACAAATGTTGTACATACTTAGATGATACTCATGCATTTGATATAACAGTATGGACTGAAACATTAAAATCATTCATGTATTTAAGGTGCTACAACTGATGCTCATTTCAGTTTTGTATCCTCTTCATACTCTTACATTTATTTATAATTACTTCAAGATCAATTTCTTTTCTAACAGATTTTATGCTTCATTCTTTATAGTATTTATAGTTTTACTTGATAAATCAAGCATATACATTTTAATAATAATGTCCAGAAACATAATATTTGTATATACATTTTATTCAACTGAAAAGTTCCTTGACTATGACTGTACTTTAATAAATGAATAACATGAAATAGTAATTCCAAGCCTTCTGACCTCTGCCTGTCCAGACAAGGGCAAAGAATCTATTTCTGATATGGGGGTACACATAAGATAGATTCTGTCACCCCCAGTGACAGGGCAATCATAAGAGTGAGGCCTATAGCTTAACGTGAGCTCCAAACCGCTGCAGGGTGTGCGTCTCGCAGTCTTCACATTCCAAAATTTTTGTGGAGGTCAAGGTTTCAATGTGAGTAGAAAAACCTTCACACGTTACTGGGGATCAAATGTGGGACCTCCATATTACAGTCACTAGAAGAAAGACAGGCCTGAAACACTCATGTTCCTTCATGACAAGTCTCCTGCACTAAGTTCTGCAGCATGCAACCAGTTGGATGGATGTAGTCATGGGGTGAGCATGAGCATCCCCTGGTACTGCAGCCTCAGTAAGCTTCCTGTACCAGCCCTTGATGATACCGGTGGCTTTATCACTGTAACAGGGAAACCCAGGTGCTCAGAAAAGAAACCTGTTTCAATACCGCTGTTTACCACAAATCCAATATGGTCTAACCGGGGTCGTCTGTGGAGCACAGAGCAATCCAAAATGTCAAATTACATTTTAAATGAGTAATCCAATTGTGAATTCTTCTTGTGGGGGGGGGGAGAAGAAACATGAATTACAGGGCACTGTACAATTTCAGACCCCATAAGGCACTAAAACTGAACCCTCAATATGACAGAATAATTTATGACCTTGTGCAGTTTGGAGCACACCAAAACTTTACAGGGAAGTGGAAAGAACGTTCACAGCATGAAAATCATCTTAGCATATTTACACTACTTCTACCTATCGTTCCTTAAGCAAGCAGTCTGACAGGTATCATTAAATTAATTTACTTTCATATAAACGTGTGTAGCTTGCAGCATTCAACACTCTTAATTATCAAGTAAGCACACATATATATTTACAAGAGCTGTCTATAATTAAGAAAACCTCCAATGAGCTGTCAAGTACGGATCACTCACTGCTGCTATGTTTACCAGTCTCCAATTATCTGCCTTCTTCAGGTCCTTTCAGTGTCTTCAGATTCTAATTCTTGTTCAACAGTATCACCACAAAGTTTAAGTTACTAAGTTAGATCACTCTTAAAGCTGCCAGTGAGTATCTGATTGTAAAAAATTACATTTAACAAATGGGAAAAAGAAAAAGGTATGGGACAGAAATGCCATGCCAGACGATTTCTCTCTTTATTCTCTATTCTATTTATTGTGTCATCTTCACCAACAATCACACCAGCGAAGTGTTACCCTCCTCCTCATTATCAGTGGATGCATCTTCTGCAATGCTGCTTCTTTCCACGTCAGAACCTCTACCGGCTACACTGGCAACACCATCACAGTTACGACGCTGTGTGCTCTTCCAGTTATACCGCATACTGTCCAATGGTATGTCTCCAACAGAATGTGTTCGGGTGCGGTAACCACTGTCTTCATAGTACTTCCGACAATGTTCACATGCGCATTCTGGATTTTTTGAAGGTCCCACATGATGACCAGGTTTTCGAAATGTACCGATGATTGTACCAAACTTTTCTGCTTTGGATAACTGATCAGTCCGTTTACCAGGGATATTTGTGAATGGTGATGTAATGGTACTAGCAACTTTGGATGGTGGAGGTGATGGTGTTCTGTAACCAAATGGCCCAATGGCTGTGCGACGTATAAATCTGTGTGGGCCAGAATCACTAAGGCTTCCAGTATCCTGGGCTGGGGGCTTCAGTAAAGCAGAAGCCTTTGCTGCAACTGCACCTTTAGCAGGAGTCACCAACCTCACTTCTTCCTTGTTCTTCCCTGAACTGACTCTCTTCACTGTATCCTCTCTCCTGAGAGCTTTACCTGCAGGTCGCGGAGAAAATTCTGTCTCTCGACCACAGAAACTCCATGCATCACCCGTTTCATCATCATCTGAATCTTCTGTTGTTTCAGCTTTCCACAGTGGAAAAGCTGACTTTCCATGTTTCTCTAGGAATTCCTTAAGTTTCTGTTGCTGCAGGAGATGCTTTCGCTCAACGTGTGGGGACCTCCAAGTTTTTGAGCCTTCTCCGTCATCCCCAGTGCCACCCCACGCTCTCTCCTTCTCACGAATTCTCAGTCTATCTGCTGCATCGGCATACTCAAAGCTCTCACTCTGTGCAAGGCTCAGTGTGCTGTGAACCAAGGAGTCTAACTCAGTGACTGTGTCCTTCCATGAAGTTGCTGCTGCAGAGTCATATTCATCGCTCAGTGCCATGCTCGATGAAGAGATGGTGGATGATGAGGGATTTCGAGACGTGGAGGCCGTGGCTTCACTCTGTGGCACGCTTGTCTCTGTTGCCCCTCGAAGAGTGGAGCAGGAACTCATCTGGGAGGGGTAGTGGGAGCTCAAGCCATCGTCACTGTCATAGCCCCGCACTGTCTGCCGTTCATCTCCTGCATGAGCTGCCTCATATTTGAAGCTTTCACTATGGCGAGATGTAACACCTGCAGCTTTTTCTTGGTGCTGCTGCCGACGGAGATAACCTGCGGGTAACCTATTTTTTCCTATGCGAGTGTGAACCACTCTGAGCTTTTCTGATTCGAACACAGTCTGTGGAGATGACAATGAATCAGAAACCTGTGATTCATCACTGGAACCACTGGCATCAGCATCCTCGGAACCAGTACAGTATACATCGATATGAACAGTGCGAGGCTTGTGCTGTCCCTTGTCCCCAGACTGGTTAGGCGTGCACTGCGAACCCCGAGACTTGTGACCTGGGTCACCAGACAGAAGAGGGGACTGACCCCGTAGTCGAGCTGGTGAGCGGGTCAATCGACGTGCTGGAGAGCGGGAGGCTGGCTGCAGGCAATAATACACAGAAGTCAGTTCTTTACACTGCATCTGATCCAAGAAACATAAAATAGTAAATGGGCTGCCAAATATTCAACAGCGGTGACAGAAACAAACCAAAGAATTTGACTGCAATTAGTTTTAAACTGGTAACAAACTTTTTTTTTTTTATTGCTAGTGGTGTGGGATGTCCCTTGTACTGCAGCCACTTCTGGCCTATTGTCCCAGTCCCAGATGATAGGTGAGGGTGATTGTGGAGCAATTTATGGAATGAAGATTGGCAGGGGAAACCAAAGTACTTGGAGAAAACCTGCCCCAGCGCCACTTTGTCCACCACAAAAATCCCGCTTGACCAGACCCGAGATTGAACCCGGGCTACCGTGGTGGAAAGCCAATGGCAATGCATAATTTACCCGTGATGTTATCAATATCAATAGCAGTGTTGGGGGTGGTTGACCATAAGTGTCAAGCACACAAGTATGAGGGGCTAAGCATGACTGACAAGACACTACAGTTAAACTTTTTCTGATATCCATTAGGCATTTCTTTTGCAAGTTATCAATCTGTAAGATACCGATATGTTGGGTTTTTGGACTTTATCCATCGTCCTGGTTTTTAAGATAACAAATAAAAACACGACGTTTCGGAAACTGGATCTGTTTCCGTCTTCAGGTGAAGGAAAACACCTATTCGGTTGGGTCCCTTAGAAAGAGCTAGCCTCAATCNAACAGAAAGCATGATTTTATAAAGCTCAGCACAGTCTGTCTGGAACCATACTTGAAACTAAAATGACGTAAGAATGCTCTAAGACTGGATTTAAAATGAAATAACAACTGCAGCTACAAAGGGGCTTCATGGTCTACCCTCTCAGCAGACATACATTCCTGACAAACTGGACACTGCTGTGAAATGCTCATGAGAAACTGACAGCCAATAAGGATTCTACTAATGACACAGGGTAAGTTTCTGAAGATGCAATCTTTGTTATTTACACTACATTTCACAAACATCAGAGGAACCATTTGCAAACTTACCTTCATGAGTTCAATGTTGGGTTCTGGTACGTTAATCACTGGAAGCTGCAGAAGTTCTGAATCTGTCTTCCGCCTTGCACCCCCATATACCGCTCTGTTTCCCATCTTGGGTTGAGTGGGCTTACTTTTGCAGGCTGAAGCCACATCCAAACCAGGTGCTGTGGTACTAATCATGTGGTCCGAAGTCTGAGATGCAACATCACGGTTCAGTCTGTCTACATCCCGTGATAATCGATCTGGTACACGCGTGCAAAAGTGTGTCGTGAAAGTATTCGCTGCTGTTGCTCGCCTGATAGCAGTGGGGCTCCTGCCACCTCCACAAACTTCGCAAGCATTGGGCAACGGAGCAAAGTCTGAGCTTCTGGGTCTAACCTGCTCATGATTCTGCAACGGGGAAGTGTTCCGGCGATGGAAGCAGATAGGGTCACTGCACCCTGCATTGTCAGTGTCCACATTAGATCTCATGGAAGCACTTGCAACTCCCTGGCTCTCGGCACCAGACAGAATGATGCTGCATGTGCTCCTACAGCGACGATCGTAGGGCTGGGTGGACCTGCGTGTAGGGAGGCTTCCGTACGATCCTGGTGACACCTGCTCACTGCTGTACCCAGAGTCCAGCAGGTGTTGACCTGATCGCAGGGTTGATGTTGGGGCAGGCTGGGGTTCTCGAGGTGGAGGACAAGTGGTGAAGAGGATGTTGCCACGTTGGAATCCATAAGAGTTTCTAAGTGGAATGTTTGTTGTAGGTGGTGGTGGTGGCGGCGGCGAAGTGGGTTGACCACCCCATTCATACTGCATGCGGACACCGCCAGAATCATGCTCTGGACAAGGAGCAGCAGCAGCTGTGGTACGTGGTGGTGGCATGTCCGGTACAACACCATCAGTTGGGCGATGATGAGATATTGTGAGCTGAGCATGCACAGACCATTCTTGTGAAATGCCAGATTGTCTATACATGTTGTAGAAAACATCACGCTCTCACTCGCAGCTAGCTGTCAAGGGCTTGCCTGCATGTTCAAGAGCAGGAGAGAATAAAATCCACGAGTCTTTCATGTTCTATTATCTCATCACTCAATATCTCATTACAGGGGACTCCATAGCAATATGAAATGAGTCATTTAATAATAAAGCTTGATATAACATGTGATGTGCACTTTCTTTTCACATAACGATGACGAAGATTTTCAATAATGTTTGTGGCTATTACTTCCCCAGGACATTTCACACAACTGTCACACAAATTATCATCACTGCTATAGCCCCAATATATGGACAATTTCAACTTGATGTCTGAACCACATATATTCAGCACTAATGGGAACATTCAACACAGAGTACTGAAATGGTGCAACAATTATTCTGTGCACCTGCTGCTCAGCCATCCATGCTACACCCTCCATGCAAGAAGTTCCCAAAGAATACAACTAATAACAATAATGGCAGTGGAATCAATTCTGGCTGCTGGTGGCAGGGGCCAACAGAAACTTTGTGGCTGCAGTCAGATGTATGACTACAACTTCACTGGTCTGGCAGGGGGCAGTGACTGAAGGAAATTTGGTCACTCTGTATTGCACAGTACCTTATTCCCTTGTTTCGTATAACCACGGCTCACCCCCCCCCCCGCAAATTCCCACCCACTGCTAGGTCGATGTAAGGGCAGCTTCCGAAACCCCTCCAAAGACATCATCCCTGAAGATGGCAAATGGAAGTGTTTGCCAAAATTTTGGAAAACCTTCAACCTTCTAAGCAGCATATTCGCAAAAACTGAAGTCCTTACATCTATGTTCACTCCTCGGACATTAAGAGCTGGATACTATGAGTTAATGCTATCAAAATCACTAACATCATAAGCCATAGAAATTTTCAAGGGTTTCATATGTCTGATTGCAAAACCTTTGTTCTGCCTGACACCTGAGTGACGTTAGCTTGTGAATGGGTAGTTGCAGGCCTCTGTAGGTGCTTCTGTTTTTCAGTCACAACTTCAACAGGTGGAAAATTATTCAAGTACAGTCTTTACCAAGCTCTGGTATAATACTTCTGTGAGAACCTTAAATCTAAGTTGCAAGTATTTACACTGCAGCCCAATGACGGTATTGGCCTCTTGCGAAGTTATATATTTGGCAACAGATACAGGTGAGGGGAAGTTGCGTCATCCACTAGCCAGTATGGAGATGCTAAAGGAGACAAACATCTCAATCCCTACATCACCACAATCAAACCTGATTCTCTGGTAGTCCAGCCTGTATCCCAGTCACTATACTGGCTGAGCTACCTATATACACGATTATATACTCATGGCATCAGAATATCTGTATGACGCAGAAGGACACAGGGATGTGTGAAGTCCCAGAAGTAGACAGCAAGCTGTTTTTAAAACGTCTTTTAATACCGGAAAGCACCAGATTCTTTTTGAACTGCATGCTGGAGAAGAAAAATGTTTCATTACTGGGTTTCTATTTTGTCCATCTTTCAGTACTCCAAACAAAACACAATGTTTCAGAAACTGGCCATTTCAGTCCTCCAGTGAAAGTGAGGAGATAGCCTCCTCATCTTTGTCTGTCAGAAAGAGGCCATCTCAATAACTGGAACGAATGGGTCCATCTGAGTTTCACAAGGGGACAGGATGAGGCCCTGTTTCCAAAGACATTCTGTTCTGTTGAAAGTACCAGATGACTGGCAAGTCCTGAAACCCAGTGATCCTATGTGTAACAAGCTATCATCAGTACTCTTCAAGAGGACAAGGTTTGTATGATCTGCAGTCATGACAGAGATCTCCACAGCCACACAAACCACAGTTCCCATCACTGGGACCATTGCAATATGGCCAGTTTGGTCAGTCAGTCTCAAATTTCTGTGTCCTTGGCAGCATTCTGCTAGATGGACCTGTGGAGGGCCAGCTGGCTGTTGCTCAAAACTCCACGCTACACAGGCTACCTTAACTCCTGCCCACATCTCATAAACACAGATAGACATGACCCACCAATTATGTGTTCGCTTGATGTACTTTGTGTAAAAAATGTGTAAAACTAAACAAGCTTTAATGATATTCTCTTGCTTACATCTTGGATGGGTGCCAAAATGAGGAGTGCACTATGTTGCAATGTGCTGCCCAGCTCTAAGGGGCTAATTAATCATCTGACCACCTGTGAGTTGTAACTCCGAGTATATCTTAAGTTCTTGCAATGTTCACACTTGTCCCCCCCACCCACACATATTTTCTAAATAATGGTAATGTCTTCGAATTGAGGTTCTCACAGCAGTGATTACAAACAGTACTTTTGTATGACATGTGACACTGAGTAACCTGGTACAAGTTTACTGACGCTGTGCAGAACTCTTTCCACAGGACTAAAGCAGCTCGGATGTGAAGCTGACCACTTATCTTCAACTACTGCCATAATGAAGCCTGCATGAACCTACACTCCCCTTCCAACTTCTTGGTATGGTGCTATGGACAGAAATAACATTACCTTTTCTAGGCCTATAGGGTTGGAATTGGGGGCACGCAGTAGTGTAGATGGTTGAGGCATTATGCTACAAACCGGAAGGTCATGGCTTCAATTCCCAATGAAGTTATACCTAATCCTTCCAGCCACACTATGACCCTGGGGGTTGACTCAGCCTCTACTAGAAATGAGTACCAGGAATCTTCCTGGTGTTAAAGAGCGGGCAGCCAGCCAGCATGTAAGACTGACAACCTCAGAGCCATCTGCAAGCTGACTCTCCAGAAAATGTGGGAGCCTCGGCATCTCACAACCCTATGGGCTTCCACAGCCTGTTGCACAGATAGGTTTACCTTATAGGATTGAAATTAAATTCACCCTGTAGCTTTTGGTCCCTCCTAAACCAAGTATAATTTAAGGGCAGCAGAAACACGCAGGGACACACTTTGCAAAAACCTGTTTACTTTGAGCAATGAATACACACAAGTCCATTTATCGGGTTTAGAACTACAAGTATTTATCTAATGGTCAAGGGTTAACTTTCGGTGCCCCGAATTTCATCCAAATATATAAAAATAAGCCGCTTCCTTGCCGAAAACATATAATGTCTCCACTGCACAGAACAGTCGCTCAATACAGTCTAGAGATACGATTACTGTTTGTCGTGAGAATCGTAAGAAACACACAAATACTTGTACACTTCTAATATTAAATCATGTGGTTCATATAGTTACCACTGTGCTTTACGGGGTTAGAAATAATATGTCACTGAGCTGGATGATGTATACTAGTAACGCTCAAGACTTGCGTTCAAGAGGCGCTTGGTTCGAATTTTGGCCAAGTAATCGAAAATCTTGATCAGGGTTTTGAACACTTTACTCAGTCCCTACAGGTGAATGCCAGGATAATACCTCGATTAGGCCACGACAACCTCCTTTCAAATCCTTTCCAATTCATCAGTCATCCTATGATCTGCTGCTATCAGACGCGATATTAAAATCACGAACATAATCAACCAGAAAGCGGATAATCGGCAAGTCTCTCTGAGGACAAGAGGCCTGTAAGCATGCGGTCCTACCCCACAAGCTGCAAGTTGTGCAGCGTCTAATGACCTTGGCGAGGGCCCACGTAGGAGCAAACGCAATGTAATCTGTAAGAACGAGCTACCATTCACCTAGAGGTACTGGGCGACACACAGGGTTACGAGAACCTTCTAAAGATCGGCTATGTTGCCGCATACACAGAATTAATAAAGGCAAATTTGTCCCTCAGCTTAATTAGGCACCACAACATGAAGAGGTGTCACCTCCCCGGTAGACTGACGTAGGACAGCTTCATGATCCGACCGCTTTACCCCATGAGGATCCTCCGGCTGGGCGGGCCCTACAGCAGGTCTAGACACTGAGAAGAATGAAATGAACCTGCCGGGGAATTGAACCCCCATACCTTGGTTGCCCAGCCAGGAACCTAGTCATACTGCCTGAGCTACCCCGGGTCCAATTCAGGGTTAGTAACGGACACAGTTCATTCACTACATGGAGCTATTATGCAAATCAAAAACTGAAAAGAGAAACATGGGTGGCGGAGGGAAGGTGCACAAAATAACAGCATCACGTGACGACTGGAGCTGGATACGCAATACACACACACATGACCTTACGATCAACACACGCATACGATAAGACGCTCATCGGAGACAGACCTCGACACAACTGCGTCGCCCCATGGACAGACGTCCATCCTGTCTTCCTTCGCGGGCACATGGCCAGTACTTACACAGGCTGACTAGGCCCCAGTAGGTTATTTTAGGCCTCTTCCCCCGCCCCTCTCTATCCTCTAACATCAACGCTATTGGGTTCAAAAAGAAAACAGAAAAACACGGAGGAATGCTCCCTCGCGGCGCGATACGGTGGAGCCCTCCGCCCACGCCCACTCGCCACAGGGGTGACATGCTGACGACACTCGGCCAGGCTTCATACTAAGGCACAGAATATCGTACTTTTCTGCCGCAGTACACTGGCATATGGCTGAAACCAGACATACATTTTACAATTCATGTTGGCCGCAAAGGTCCAATACAGTTTCACCCACGTTATGGGTTATCGTGCGCTGGCCTCAGATGAACCCGTAACCGACCTGAATCCAAGGTCTTAGTTCCTTACAGAAGAGCCTTCTCTGCTGACCCGTTTCTTCGCTGGGCTGTCCAACTGTTCGTCTTGAGTCAGGCTATTGACCCCTACTAAAAGACCTCTTACAGCCATCCCTCAGTGGACCCTCGCCAGGGCCACTCAGGGGGGTTACCTGCTTCTCCGCCCACGAGAGCAAAAAAAGCACAAGACCAACTGTCAGAAGGACCCTCCGCCTTTAGCCAGCCGACTGCAAAGCCCCCACCAGCACTCTGGGCAGCAGATGATTCTATTCAGAACGGTTCACCGTGACATGAGCCCGTACAAAGCAAACCGCAGCAAGCATGGTGCGGTATTTCGGGGGCCCCATGAGCCCACCATCTGATTCTGTGTGCACTGCATGAGCATCCAAGCTTCGTGCACGAATCTTAACGATCTTGCAGGCGCGATGCTACAGAGAGCTTCCACTCGTTCCTCTTTGAGCAAAATTTTCTGGCTACTTCCCTTATTTGGGGGGGGGGGCAACGGAGACAACGGCTCAGTGGAAACGTTACATCAGCAACAAATACACACGCAACAAGAGAAGAATTCTTGGACGCGTCGTTTTCTACGAGGTCTGTATAGTATCAAGAAAAGTAGGCGATTAGTTCTTCCGAGAACTTTTTGTTTTTATTTCGGAATTCGTTAAGCGTGGCGACAACGAAAGCAGCAGCAAGACGCTTCCAATTCATTACGGCGAATACGGGTAACAGGATCAGGAACACAGTTTCCTCGGTCAGTAAGAATCAATATCAGTGCCAGTTACTAAAGGATGATCTATTTTAAACCGCGGTCTTCTAAGATGTAATGCCGTGGTGTTCGGAAACAACCCGATATTTCGGAGGAACATATCGCCTCCATCTTCATGCTCGAAGAGTAGGCCAAACAAGAAACCAACACAAGCTCAGCTTTCCCCCCGTTTCTTGCTTCGCTTAATGATAGACACTGAAATGTAAGGAGACGTTCCTCTGAAACATCGGGTTATATTCTAAGTACACGTACATAGCGTTGTAGCTTACAAGCTCGTACTTTTCACTGTATTCTATACATCATTACTCGAAATAGCTGCTTAGGATTGGTACGATCCCGAAACGTCGCCATCTTACATTCAGATGTAAGACACGGGTTTCCTATCGGGGCAGCAATTAGAAAGTTCGCCGAGGCCGAAAACAACTCACTTCTCAGACTCACTGCACGCGGAATTTAAGCCGTTTCGTCCCATCTTCCTTCCACCCACGAGTTAATCAACCCATCGGCCAATGAGCGCCTGCCATTTCGCGGGAGTTTGGCTATTCTGATGACTGAGAAACGTGACCTGATGAAAGCAGAAATAGTCTACACAGTGGACAGCAGACGTTTATTACGACTACATAAAAGTTCTATGTTTTTGGAAATGAGTGGTCAGCTTCAAGTCCCGGCCGTTTCATCCCGGCACCAATTGGGGGCCCCAGAACCGGTCTGAAGGACGTGGAGAAGAGAAAAATCTTGCCCATACCAGGACGCGACCTCCGACGGAACTGTACACCCACTAACCCACATGTATTCATGGCGTAGTGCTCAATTCGTTATGCAAAGGGCAACGCTACCTTTTACATAAGTTTTGTGATAACGCTGAACACTTCCTTTGAAATACAGAATTCGATTCTTCCAGGAAATTTCATAAGAAACTAAATGGCAGGTCCCAGGGTTAATTCAGTCATTCAAATGTCACAGAACTGGACTGTTATTTCCAACTGTCACATCAGCATGGGACGGCCACTGGACGCGAATGGGAGGTCGCCTGTCCTGAGCTCTTTACACGAAGACAGGAATATCGTGGTCTTCTGGCACATACGTCGTTAAGTCTAACTACACGGCGCCACAATCCAGAAAACAGCAATCTTAATTCATGTAGCCATAACCGATTACTGGGGGCACGCGGTAGAGTAGTTGGTTCAATTTCTGATGTCACTGGATTTTACAACTGACCTAATCCTTCCAGCCGTACTATGGCCCTGGGATCTATACGGCCTCTTCCTGGGGCGGCCGGCGCGTAAGGCTAACAACCTCATTGTCATCGGTGACCTGTCCAGAAAATGTGGAGGCCTCGACGTCTCACAGCCGTATGGACCTCCACGGTCTGTTACAGGAATAGCATTATATTTTTTACCTTTACCATGACCGATTACTTTTAGATACTATCAAGCCATCACCCAACAAGCATAACTGTCCGATATATATGCCTATAAAACGTAACGCTTGTTACGTAGCGCGGACCTAACACAGAGCACCCAAATATATTATGAAATGGAATCAGTACTGCTGTCAGCATGTACAGCAGTCACGCGCAAATACTGAGGCAGAAGTTCTGGATGCGATTTGAATCCTAATTTCAAATAATTTTTAATTACATGAGTAAATTTTAATTTACTAATCTCAGCAAACTTCCTTCTCTGCAGTTCTAGCTGCTGTGTGCTGTGACAGTACATTCAATTTGGTCACCCTTGCAGGACTCGCTTGTGTCCGCTGGCAGTACGTCAAGTAAAACACGCGTCACAACCGCCACATTCTAAAACTGCTATTTTCTCTAAGCAAATGTCAGTCACTGGCAACACTGCACACTATTTTGGCACTATTCTCCGAAATTAACAACCCAAGAGCCGAACATTCATCGAGTGCATCAACTTTTGCAATACAGTAACTGAATCCAACTCAGAGGCTTCGCCGGCCGTCTTCACACCTTCAGCTCTATAACCCTATAAACGGGAGCTGGGTTCTCACTGAGTAGCTAGTAGTCGCTCAGCTGTCCCCTCCTTGTCCACTATCCTCACTCCAATGCCTAGGTCTTCCAGGAGGCCTCTTCCTTTCAGGTTTCTCGATCAAAATTCTGTCGCCATTTCGCATTTGTCCCGTACGTGTCACATGTCCATCACATTTAATCACCCTAAAGTTAGTATGAATTGAGGCTGGACCTGCGCTTCAGAGCGGCGACTATGTACGGTACAGCGCCACCTTCTGAGTTCAGAGACTGCCTCCATCGTCAGGGTTGAACAATAAGCAAAGCAAGAGCAAAAAAGAGAGTGTCAAGCAGATTGTTATATACTTCGTGCCTGGCTAACACTTCGATCTGAAGGTGCAGCTAGCACATTCCTCCGAAACGTCGGCGAGCTTCTATAGGTCTGCACAGCGCCATATTCCAGAAAATAGTACTCCCATGGCGAATTGTTTCATGCATCAAAATACTTTTAACTTTTAGGGCGAAGTGACAGGAGGTTGGAGAAAACTGTATAATGAGGAGCTTCATAACTTGTACTCTTCTCCAAGTATAATTAGAATGATCAAGTCGAGGAGGATGAGCTGGGCAGGGCATGTAGCACGAATGGGGGAGAAGAGGTGGGAAAGCCAGAAGGAAAGAGAACACTGAAAAGACCAAGGACAATGTGTAGACAATATTGAAATGGATCTTAGAGAGATAGGATGGGATGGTATGGACTGGACTGATAGGGTTCAGGATAGGGACCAGTGGAGGGCTCTTGTGAACACGGTAATGAACCTTCGGGTTCCACAAAATGCTGGGAAGTTCTTGAGCAGCTGCACAACTGGCAGCTTCTCGAGAAGGGCTGAGTTCCATGAAGTTAGTTAGCTGGTTACGGTAAACAAAAATTCTCGCGATGAACAGTGCTGCAGTTTGAATGATTATAAAAATCAGGACTTCCCCAAGTCCGCAAAAATGAGTCAACAGTCGCAACCTGAATTGCGGGGAACACGAGTACAGGAAAGGAACGGGAGAAACAGCCCCTCCGTGGGACACAGAACGAATTGATTGCTGTAAAAATAGACGCTGGTCCTTCTGAAGCAAACAACTGTGTGAATATGCGGGATCAATGACCCATCACTGGAAGCAAGTGAGCTATTCCAGCCCAAAGCAATCGTCCCGACGCCGCCGCTTGCATAACTACGTACATACTTGCGTATAAAGCGAAATGACGGGTTGACTGTGACAGTCTTACGCGCAGACGGTCAAAGTTTGAATCTGTGAGCATTTATCTCATCATAACCCCATCACTTGCATCTTATTAACCAACTAAAGGTCATCTATATAAAGAGTACGGTCTTCTCTGGGGGGCACGCGGGAGCGTAGCTGGTTGAGGTACTATGCTACAAGCAGGAAGGCCGCGAGATCGAATCTCGATGATGTGGATTTTTTCAATTTACTACCTAATCCTTCCAGCCGCACTATGGTCTTCGGGTCGACTCAGCCTCTAACAGAAATGAGTACCGGGAATATTGTTGGGGGTAAAGGGTGGCCGGCGCGTAAGGCTGACCTCACCGCCATCTGTGAGCCGATTGTCTAGAAAACGTGGGAACCTCAACATCTCACAACCCTATGGGCCTCCGTGGCCTGTCACAGGGATAGCTTTACTTTTTTACCATCTTCTGTGGTGTAGTCCGGTAGATGTTCAGCGACGTTTCGAAGAAACATTTTTTATTGCTAGTGGAGTGGGATCAAGTCCCTTGTACTGCGGCCACTTCTGGCCTATTGTACCAGCCCCAGATGATAGGTGAGGGTGACTGTGGAACAATTGGTGGAATGAATATTGGCAGGGGAAACCGAAGTACTCGGAGAAAACCTGCCCCAGTGCCACTCTGTCCACCACAAATCCCACTTGACCAGACCCGGGATCGAACTCGGGCCACCGCGGTGGGAAGCCAGCGACTAACCGCTTGAGCTATGGAGAGGCCCTTTGAAGAAACATACTGGCTCCATCCCCACAGTTGAAAAGCCAAGGAACCAGTAACAACAAAGAAGAGCGTTCCTACGAAACGTCGGTGAGCTACGACCAGACTACATGGCATCACATCAAAGAATACAACACTACTCATTGTGACGGCTGGCAGAACCTGAACTCCGACATGAATCTACATTTTTTTTTCCCCTTGGCACTACAGCCCCATTGGGCCTAGGGCCTACCTCCATGAACTTCTCCGTTCACTTTGTTTTTCTAGATCTTACCCATTCGGTAGGACACCTTGGGCGGGTGATCAGCTCGTCGCAAGGCCTCTACCTGTACACAGACACAGAAAAACGCACACACACAAACTAAACATCCACGCCCTGAGTGGGATTCGAACCCACGATCCCGGTTTCAAACTGAGCGAAACAGCACATGCCATGAAACTACATACTGTTTAAAAATTAAGTTCCTACTCAAGGGAAAGAAAAGCCAAACAGTTTCGGGAAGTGGCTGGCAAACATTTTGAGAATCATACAAAACACAGAAATTCACGGTGTGGGAGATGCGGACGATTCAGAACGTCAAGGCTGATGGTGCACACACTTGGCGACACCACTGCCATCTTCACGAAACACTCTCTCCTAGCCCACAGATTTATGTACAAGCTTCCCAAGATGTTCGACTATACCTGTTCCTCTAACTAACATTTTGGAGCTGAGCCCTTCCCAAGAAGCCGCCAGTTGTATGGCCACTCCCCCAACATTTTATGGAACCCGAAGGTTCATTACCGTGTTCACAAGAACCCTTCACTAGTCCCTATCCTGAGCCAATCAATCCACTCCATAACACCCCATCCTATCTCTAGAGGGACAATTTTAATATTATTCACCTAGCTACATCTTGGTCTCCTTATGGTACCTTTCCTTCTGGCTTTCCCACCAATATCCTATATGCATTCCTCTTTTCCCCATTCGTACTAACTGCCCTGCCCATCTCATCCTCCATTTCATAATTCTAATTATATTTGGAGAAGAGTACAAGTTAGGAAGCTCCTCACTAGCCTCCCATCACTTCACCTCTCTTAGGTCCAAATATTCTCCTCAACACCCTGTTCTCAAACACCCTCAGTCTATGTTCCTCCCTTAATGTCAGAGACCAAGTTTCACAGCCATACAGAACCACAGGGAATATTATAGTTTTGTATATTCTAATTCTTATGTTTTTAGACAGCAGATGAGAGGACAAAAGGTTCTGGACTGAATGGTAGCAAGCATTACCCAAATTTAATCTCCTCTTAATTTCCGCCTGAATCACTTTTTAGTTTGTTATCGTCGTTCCCAAATATCTGAACTGTGCCACGTTTTCAAAACATCTGTTTCCTAGCTTTATGTCTTGATTTTGCACTGCATTTTGGTGATGAGACAGCAACATATACTTAGTTTTCTCTGTGCTTACTTAGACCAACTTCCTTAGTAGCGTCAACTAAAGTTTCAATGTTTTTCTTTATGGTGTCTATATTACCATCATCAAAAGATGGTAAATTTGATTCTGAGTCTTTCTAATCACGAGATGTCCAAGTAAATTTATGAATGTTATGATGCTGGAAGTGGCAAAAGGCGGTATAGGGAAATGGAGATACAGCTCCACTCACAGTTAACCTCGGCACCTGAGGAGGCGAGTTGTCAGGTTCCGGTCGCTGAACCTCTGAGGAAAGTCCCCCACCCCAAGGGGTACCAACTCAATAAGTAACACGGTGAACCCCAGAGCCGGCCTCAGATGCTACCACTCACGGAAATGGAACAGATTGCCCTGTCATCCAGCCCACCGCGGTACCTACACTGACTGAGCTTTTATGGCTCTTCTTTCCGAAGTACCAAATTTGAATAGGAGTGACGTGATGGACATTGTTAACAATCTATCAACAAAGCACTTAGGAACGCGTATTTCCTTCGATAAATGATGCGAAATCCGGTTTTTGAAACGGGCATGGCCGACGAAAGTGGAGCTGTTTTGTCTTCGGAGAGGGCCAATGACGAACCCAATGCGACGGCAATAGCAGCTAAGACTGAACAGAAAACTTCTCATCAACTTGGTACGTTACAGTTTACTTTAAATATGCTACAAAGACACTGAAATAAAAAATCTTTAAAAGCTCACTGAAAGACGTGAGTGGGCACGGGAAAAGTTCTGGCGCGCGGGCCCAACGCGGCTATACTGAGACCACGGAAACTGTCCCGTGGACCGACCACGAAAACTGAATAGTGCCCGCTGCGCCACCTCCCCACTCCTCCGGTCACATTAACTTGTCTCCGGCTACAGGAGCCAGGGAAGGGTGGAGGTTGCTATGAAGACTATCATCTCATGGGTTCGGAGAAACGTACTGCCTCCATCTTCAGGTCACGTAAGCTAGACAAGAAACCAGCATTAAGCAGGAAGCAAGCAAGGTTTCATGCTGGTTTGTCTGGGCCACGTGTTTCCGAAATATCGGTTGACCTTCACCGGACTATACGCGTTATACCTCGCAGCTACTTGTGAGAAGCACAAATCCGGACAAACCCGGAGTCACGATAACCAGACAGTACAGTCAGTTAAGAAACTGTAGTCTGAAAAACCAAAACAGCATCTCGGATTTCCGACCTAATGCGTTCCCGAAAACGGGTAGCACGTTGAATAATCGTTAAGTCGAGTGAATTACATGTTACGTACACGGTTAAGTTTCTGGAGCTCAAGGATGACCCATCTTTCAACATTTTAACCCGCAGTACGCTATAATTCATAGGTCTTATAATAAAACCAATACAGGAACGTCATATAACACAGTATTAAACACCTGAACTTATTAAAATATTAAAACTAAGTCAATACTTCATAATGAAAAGTTACGACTTACGTTTCGAGCAACGGGGGCATCAGAGCATGGCGTTAGTCCGAAAATCCGGGGCGTTTGTACTACCCTATACGATTTGAAGCTCTACCCGCCCTTGCTTGTCTTGTTCTTCGGCCCTTGAAGATGAAAAATCGAAAAATTTCGGAAGACAGTAGTCTTCCTAGTCAAGGCTGTGGTGCTTCGACTCCGCGAAGAATATCCTCGAACGAAGCGTTGAGGTGGGCGGCTGTCCAGTAATCATCGCCTACAGCGACTCCAGAATATCGCAGCCTTGATGCAGCCAGCTAATCCAAGACTTATTCTCACAGCTGTCCCCCTGGATATGACGTCATACAGTACGGCAGAAAGATGCCAACGTTTCGGAGACCACCGGCGGATAAAATGACAAATCGACATGGGATACAATGGCGCAAAAGATCTGGGACTAAGTCCTAACACAGGCGGACACAATGAGGGGCCTAATCTGAGACCCAGTGCATCGTAACACCGGTGGGTACCCTAGCGGGAAGGATCATGAATCCTGTGCAATAATGAATTAACACTTTCGGTATAATTAACGATATATACGCCGCAGGACATCTTCGGCATCTGAAGTAGCAGTGGAAATAAACTGCCCTGCCATCTCTTGAGGCCTCAAGATAACTATTTCCGTATTACATCAATGAAATTTCACAATTACGATGGAAATCTACGAACAAACGACGCCACTTATTTTCGAACTGAGGACAGAAACAGAGAAGGAGGTCACGACGCCTGCGTGTCTAGGAAGTGTGACTACACCGAATTACACGATATTACGAGACTGCCGTAAATATCGGCGTCTGTCGGCCTGTCTGTCGTTTGCGTGGAAACCATCACAATCACCTCAGCTGAAAGCTTTATCTTCTGGTGAGAGACGCCACGTAGTCAGAAGTTCACGCTCGTTTCAGAGGAACTTAGTATCTCCCTCTTCAAGGGATAAAGTAGCTGTCCCAGCTAACTCCTCACCTCTCAGGATTAAGGCACTTAAGTATCTCCGAAACGTCGGTAAACTCCTGTGGAAACCGTTGTTTGAGATGGGAACTGTTGAATTGTCCAACTTAATTTTCAAACGGCATTTACATGTATACAAAGACTCCTTCTCCCACACAAAACACGCTGTTATCTCTAACAGGAAGACTGACCGTTAAATGCTGTTTTTCCTTTATTGCGGCAATCATATGAAATACATAAATACATCGTGTATGCAATCTGTAATGTTCTCATGCCAAAGCAGGTGGTGCATATAGTAACCACTATTGCCAGTACTCACCTCTTGCAGCGCCTTCTTGTCGGCAACCCTGGAGCTCTGCAGCAGCCTGATCACATTCTTGGCTCCCTCCACGACGGCAGCCTCAATCCTCAGCCTGTGACGCAACTCCTCCACGCGGTCCTCCAGCGGGGGCTCCAGGTTCGGTTCATATCTGTCTGCACGGAGGAAATCATCAATGTCATCATTAACCTGATATGTTGCATCGCTACGCACTATCATCCATCGCGGCCACTTCTTCAGCGCCAGCACATTCATCCTGACGCGACGCAAACTACATCATTTTGGTGATCCTGCGATGACTCGGGGAGCCGCCACTCTCACGTAACTACATACTTTCGGTTTACAAGATACAGGAATAAACATTAACATCGGAGACAAGCAAGCTTGGTTTCACTGGCAGCACGAGTACGTCCGGTTCTGGGTGTCTTGCGCCCACTATTCACAAACTCACATATTCAACTGCAGAACACATTACAGTGGAGAGACTGCAAATAAGTTACTTCTTCCACGGGGCCGTATGCACTCAAGCAATTCAAGTGAAGACCGGACACAGATACCCGACGTTCGACGCGGGACTGAACACAGCACCATTTCGCCTTTGGGCACCGAAACAAACTTCCGGTTCAATTTTAACAAACTCTAACCGCCGAAAGAAACGAGCTAGGTAAGCTGCGACCATGTCCATCAGCGTCTAAGGGTACGACGCGTTGTTAAAAGAGTCCCTAGATTAGATCACACGGTAGCGTGTGGAGGAGGAGGGGGGGCAGTACGCAATTATTCCTGATGACGATGTTTTTGGCAGTCGTCATGGCGCAGAATCCGGTAGCCCGAGGTGGCAGTCGCTGGCTAATACGGTCAAGTACGAAGAGGAGAAATGGAGGAGGAGGGTAAGTCCGATGCCAGGACGTCGATACATTCGCATGGCGGTTACTCGACGCCAACAGCAGTTTCTTATTAACAGTTTATTCGAAGACGTTTGATAAATCACATGCACATGTTGCAAAGATAAAATGTTCAGACCGTGAAGCAACAGTATAAAGCAGGTAAACTTGTCCCTGTGCTTAACTAATTAAGCACTACGCCATGAAGACGTATGGGGCAGTGGATTCATAGACAAACGCGTCCTTGACCTTGGCACTTATTGAAAGTCAGTGGTCAGCTTCACGCTCCGCCCACTTTACCCTCTGGGAAAGAGTTCCCGATACCCATAGGATAGGAGAGTGAGTGGGCCCCAGAGCTGGTCTGGACGACATGGAAAAGAGAAAATTCTTGCCCCCACCAGGACTCGAACTCCTACCCCTTGGTCGTCCAGCCCACGGCCAGTCGCTATAGCGACAAGGCAACAGTCAGCGAGAGAAAGAGTATCAAAGCAATACCGCTTAAGCCAACTTGACCCGCAGGCTACCTTGTCGGTCGCTCCGTCGCCAACACACCGTCACCGAAGTCTGGATGTCTCGTAGGCTTGTTCGGGTACGCCCCATACTCAACGATCACAAATACTGTCCTCTGAGATGTGATGACTTTTCGTCTGGTTGAAGTTTACAGATATTTCGGAGAAAAGCTTCATCTTCAGTGCAGAAGCGCCAGCTGGCGGGAAAAGTAACGGAACCCATGTTGGGAAATGATGAAAGAAAACAGGGCCGAAAACTAGCCAAAGGGAGACAGTGGCGCCTAAAAGGGCGGGGCCGAACAGTTTTTGGGGAAATCCGTGTACACCCACATATGCTAACCGCGTAACGAATTTCATGAAATTCACTTCAGTGGTTCTTGCCTTGTTACAGGTGGACAGGCATACAGATATGGCGAAGATTAATATGTTTGCAACTTTCCGTTGCGAAGGCGCCTGTATGTGTGAGCTTGATGACCCAGCCTGTTCATGAATGCCATTTTGCCGCGTGGTCTAGTGGTGCATGACAGGGCAGTCACTGGATGCGAAACAAACGAGGGATGCAGGAAATGGTTATGTGGTTTACTGAACTTTACTATCTGATGTCCGAGTTCGTCTAAATAATAACGGAAAAGTCAGTTCCCACGTCACAGCAAACCTATTTCGCTACATGGTGTACACTAATGGCGTTCTAAAAATACCCCCCTCCTCCCCCAAATAATATGAAGGCTTACGTAACATTATTGAGATATTACTATGATATCCAAACTTATATCTGCAATCATGAGCCCCAATCTGCTCAGGGAGATGTTCACCCCTCCTCCTGCCCCTGTGGGGTCATTCAGGTCCGAACATGCCGCACTGGCAGGCACAAGACAGCCGCTCTTTGTCCTGTTGTCTAATCTTCAATCCCAAATATGGAGGCACAAGTTCTTCTGAAACGAGGATAAACTTCTACCAGACTACACGGCGTCACATCCCAGAAGCTGGTTAGCCTCCTACATTCATGGTAAATGTAGTTAGGTAGTTGGACCTTCCGATGCAGAAACCAACACTGCAGGACTTACGCTCTTTTATGTGACAAAATAGCTCTGGTGGGTACACTGACTGGGCTATGGTCCAGCCAATTGTGGATATTGGATTCACTCCCAAGCAGGCAATCTGGGGCCTATTCCCCAGGATTAAAGTGGTTGGAGCGTGCAGCTTGCCACAAATCTCCCACCATGTAGAGATCAAGAATACATGGAGCTATTCCACCACCTTCAACATGTCTTCATCATAAAGGTAGTCATCGCTGTATTTAATTATACAATTATCAACTATGCCATGAAGGGGCACAGCTCCACCATTCTCAGCTTTGGCATTAGACTACATGAGTGTAATCTGGTTCAAAAGTAGCAGCATTTCAAAGCAACCTGCTGCCGCCACCTTCAGGGTGGAAGAGTAAGCTGAAGGGGAAAATCAGGATATAGGTCTGGGCAAGGGGGAAAGAAAACAGCCTATGAGCAGGCCAATGGGGGATGCTGGCCCATACATCTTAGGGGAAAAGGTGACAAAGGATATTTTGGGGAGAAAAGTGCTCCTCAAACATCCGTCCCAAGTCCTTTTAGAGTCATGTCTCATTTGCCTGCTCTTAGCTCCAGTTTCTTGCTCCTTTAGAGCGATTTCTTCCTTGGTTCGAATCCAAGTTGAATATAACTCGTTTAGAATATTTACTGTATACGTATTTTGAAGAAGTTTTAAGAAATGTTTGGAGCAAGTCGAACTGGTTCTGTTTATCAGAAGCAGGTTGCAGGCCATGAACTGCTATAGTTTACAATAAAAAGTTTTTCTCACTTTGTGGTTTATGGTTTGTTTTTGGGCGCTACCAAATTGTCGCCCTGAAGGATGTCACGCACCAGATAGGGAAGGGAACAATACTCCTCGACTCCGCACTACCCTTGTCCTTCGAGAGAAGTCTTCAAAGTGACTCTGGGGGGAAATGACAGCAGGACAACTTGCAAGTAGCCTGGCATGCAGTACATAGAATTGTTTGGACCCTCCCGTGAGGTGTGTCTGGTCGGTGGCTTCGATCTGAAGATGCACCTAATACACCTAAATTAGGCTGATCACCAGGACTGGAATCTTTCGTATCAATTCCAGTCACAATTAGCCTTACGTTTTGCAATAACTGCATCGGCTTGGAATGTGAATAATTTATACGGCAGTGTTACTTTATTCAAATAAATAAACACTAACAGCAAACTGTGACTCTTTCTAGGTGTGACTTATAAATAATTAACCGTATATACTTCACATTCCCACCTCCATTCCGTTGTTTACACTGCCACCCAATCCCGTTCAAGCTTCCTGACTGGCTAGGTGGCAGTCTCTAAACCTAATCCATGGAGGTTAACGCCTGGCTGGCTAGGCGGCAGTCTCTAAACCTAATCCATGGAGGTTAACTCCTGGCTGGCTAGGAGGCAATCTCTAAACCTAATCCATGGAGGTTAACTCCTGACTGGCTAGGTGGCAGTCTCTAAACCTAATCCATGGAGGTTAACTCCTGGCTGGCTAGGCGACAGTCTCTAAACTTAATCCATGGAGGTTAACTATTATTGTTATTGTTATTATTGGAGGGGATGGATTTCCCCATGCACTGCGACTATTTGCTAACCTATTGTGTGTCCCCCTTTAATTTCTACTGTCACCATGCCCTTCCAGTACTGGTGCTCACTATCAGCCCCGTTCTGCCCGTGGTCGCCGATACTTCCCCATCTACCAGAGGAATTGGAAACTACTTGCGTGGGAAACTTTGCCTAATTTTTCTCAGAGGTCTCCTAGAGGCATGAGGATCTTTTACGTGCCGTAAATCTACGACACGGGACACATGGCTTAAAGTCCCTTCCGGAGGACTTGTTCCCTGAATTTTTCCACCCTTAAAAATTCCACGACCTCCACCGGGTTTGAACCCGCGTTACCTTGAGTCATGAGGTGGAAACGTTACTGCTTTATGGAGGTTAATTAAGTTATGAAGGGAACAGTTACAAACTGTGACCTTGTTTCTCAAAGCAGGTTATTCTTTTACACTGAAGACAGAGGCAGTGTCTTTCTCTGAAACATATCTACTGAACTACTGGGACTCTCACCCCAGAAGACAGTACCTTCATTGCTGTGAGAAACTCAAACCTCACAAACTGCATAAGATAGGTGCTACACTGTGCGATGTGATGCTCCACAATCTGGTACAACTTCACAGATGTTTCAAAGGAACATGTCACCTCTATCTTCAGGCTCAAACCACAGGCCAAGCAAGTAACCAGCAAGTATGCAATGCGGTGGGGAAGAACCAACACAGGAAAATTGTAAATGACTTCAGTAACCCCCCCCCCCCCCCCNTATTCGGTCCTGATATGAGAGTCCATAACATAAATCCGGTAATTGTGCACAAAGGTCAAATATATATTTGCACCTATTCTAGTTCCTAACACACAGAGATATGCACAGACTATGCAGACCCACAACATTCATGGCAGTTACAAATGCTTTATTAAAACAAAAAATAATACAACATTTGCTTCGCACTGCTGAGTTTCTGGACTCTGTCCATTCTCTGATATCCTGGCCCTGTCCCCATCCTCAGGTAAAAAGGTGGGGAGGCTGCTGAAAAGAGCTGCCACTATTTGCTTGCCTTACTCTCTGACCCTGAAGATGGAAGTAGTATGTTCTTGCAAAACTACTTCTGAGAACTTCTACAATAGCACTAGTCTCAGTCAGTGGATAAGTGTCCTGCTGTCTCCATGGAGTCCACTGAAAGTCAACCTTCAGGGTTGAAGAGCAAGTCAAGGAAGAAACCAGCATGAAGCATGTGGCTAGCAAAAACCTTGGAAGCAAAGAGTTCCCACTGGCTCCATCAGAGAACCGGGCAAACCAAAAGGAGACACAACAGTGACTGGGTCTGCCCCTTTGAAGGGTCAGCGAAACACATCGAATCAGAGAACTGAGAACGGTGAGCATGAAAACAGAGAGCAAACAGTGGGGAAAAAAGTAAAGACTAAGGACTGACACTCTGATAGGGGCGGTGTGCATGGCTCTACGTCACCCCATGGAGAATCTTGTGATGAGGGTTTCCTGCCATTTTACATAAGCAATTCATCAAAATTTAACCTGTAACTTTGATTGGAAAACATCAAGGGGAAAACCAGTTTGACACCTAAGCATGGATGGAAGCACATTATCAGATATACAAAAAAAATGGTGTGAAAACATAGAAAGAATTCAACCAACTCAGAATTGATTTCAGTGGTGGACTTCTCTAAACATGGTTCAGTGGTGGTTACATGGTTACGAATTTCTTCAAAAGGCACAGAAATTCTTGACAAAAATTTATGCTTTGAGACTATCAGAGCCAAACAGGGACCCTGCTCCTGGTAGTTGGTTAATTGGAATCCATAAAGAGATCATGCCAAGGACTTCACAGAACTATAATAAATTACATGTCACAAGGCAAGTGGATTTTGAAAAAAATGTCAGGATCACATTTTTAAAATACTGGACTCAAAACAAAATATACCTTCTCATTCTTGTCAACTTGATTCTCCTATCTTTGCCTCAAGCTACAACAATTTTAATCTCAACTGACAAACTGTATTTCAGAGCATAATATATCTTCTACCATTAAAAACTAGTTTACCAGGTATCCATGCAAGCTTATAGGCTTCACGGGTTCTGAAGGGCCGCAACTGCTCTTCACATTCAATAATGGTATCTGTACCTAACTGCCGGGAGACTGGTACTCAGCTCTAAACATTAACATATTCTCCAAAATCATCTATACAATATTAAAAACATTAGTTCCTCCCCTATACTCAACACAACACATGTCAGTAACAAATACCAAGTCTCAATCTAATTCAGGGATATACCGGTTTGTCACAATCATGAAAGAAGTTAAAGCTATGGCCATGGAGGGCCATAGGGTTGTGAGACATTAAGACTCTCACACTTTCCAGCCAACTGGCTCATAGATGGCAGTGAGGCTGTCAGCCTTACACGCAGGCTGCCCTTTACCCCCGGGAATATTCATGGGTACTCATTTCTGTTAGCGGCTGAGTCAACCCCAGGGCCATACAGCGGGTGGAAGGATTAGGTCAACTGAAAAATTGAATGACGTCAGGAATCGAACCTGTGGCTTTCTAGCTTGAAGCATAGTGCCCCCACCATTAAAAAACATAAATTCACTTCCCCTTCTTTAGATTTCTCCATGTGTATGTGCTGCCCAGCGACCAAGCCTCTCAGTCCATCTCAACCTTCCGACATAAATTTCTTCCAAAATTTCTCCTTCCATCAACATCTTTCCTAAACTAATGTTCCCGCTTTCATCTTGGTCTTCCTCGTGGCAATTACCATTCTGCGAGAGTCTCTCTTCATACGTACAAACACTGTGAGCAAATGTTAAAGCAGGTGGTTTATAGTTCCTGCTGTTCTCTCACAAGTTGCCTCTGGATTGTAATTGTATTATGCAGCTTTCAAATGTAACTGAGCATCAAAAGGATGGAGCACGTAAGTGTAATGTAGCATATATACCTCCACATCATGTGATGTGTTCACTGAGAGGTCCAGCCATGCAGAAGAATATTTCACGATCCATGTAACATGCTTAACCCCTTTGACATGACATTCGGTTTTTCACACATCACAGTATTACAAAATATAATTTTATCAGATTTGGATCCATAAAACTACAAAGAATGGATAAATGTCTTTACCTGAGCCTGTCAAGGAATTTGTAAAGCTGGTACCTTGACAAATGCCTCAAAGTTTATTAAAAAAAACCCACATATAATTCTCAATGAAAAATAAAAAAAATACAAGAAGATATTATCCAATGAGTGCAATAATGTACACTTGAATGAACCTATATTCCTTACCAAAGCTTTAAAAGTTTCATGAACACACCATCAAACTGAATGCAGCAAAATGCAATCAGTTGACTCTACCTAAGCCACCACATACATAATTAGCCTCTGCCCAACAACCCCTCTTGCCTCAGAACAAGTGTTAGAGCCACTCACCTTTGACTTGATGACTGTCGCCATTGCTTGGCGTGTCACCAGCACCGGTTCCCTGCTGCTGACGGAGCTGCTTATTTTGCTTTATCTTCAGGATTCGTAATTTGAGGAATTCTATTTTAACCCGTGAGTCAGCAAGCATTTGCTGGGCCTCCTGCAACAGTTTCTTGTCCCGCGAATGGCCACTGGTTAAGCTCTGGATCATGTTTTCAGCACCCTGCTTTACCTGGAAATAGAAAAAGAAACATATAGATGTGAGGCACACAAACACTAAATGTTAGGATCACGATCTTCTGGGATGTGGTGAACTGTAAACTGGTAGAGAGGTACCAACATCTTACAAAGCAGAGCAGAAGGGAAGTGTGGGAGCCATGACCATGAATAGGGTTCTTCAGTCAGTGGGGCAAAACTGGCACGATGTGTACGAGGAAGTGAAGTTGGTGGAGGAAGAAAGTAAATGGCGCAACTTGATCTATGCATATTCCTTCCAATGCCCCCACTTCTTCCCACGGGCTTCCACACAGCGATGGTTCTTGTCCTTACTTTTTTACATTGCATGTCATTTTTTTTCTCCTCAGGTCACCCTTCTGCCCTGAAGATGGGAGACTACTGAACTCTCCCACATCTGCCAGTTCAAGCTACAATGCTACACAGTATATGTATTGGCAACATAATGTGAGAGGCATAGCACAGCACTGACTGTTTGTCTTTTGTGAGTGAGCCCATACCAGTTGGAGGCCCAATCAACAAAATATTCCAGACCTCAAAATGCAATCTACACTACAGCAGGGGCTATATTAATAACAGGCTTTTGGTGGTCATTTAATTTTGATTTTATTCTGCTTGCTAGTACAGCAGATACCACTTGGACTGTGGCTATCTGTGGGTCAGTAACCACAACAGGTGCCATGCCTTTACTGGGGAGAGGAGTGGCATTAGACTTAATTACATGCCGCAGTTGACTAGAAACAAGGCTGTACACTGCCTTCAGCATGAGGAATTTTAAATGAAAAAATTAATTCTATGTGCATTACCTTGAGCTCAATGTTGAGTTGCTTCTCAAGGGACACAAGCCGCAGGTCACTGAACAGTGCGTCCCCCTGTGTGGGGGTCCTGTGCCCTGACACCACTGACAGCAGTGCATCTACACACAAGAAAGATACCAACACATTACACATACAGTCGGCAGACACAGGAGCATCCATACAATTAGGGCAAATGTGACATTTCAGAAGGATGAGTCAGTTGTGCCACTCTGAAACGAAAAACAGCTGAAGGTGTTATAAAATGTGCTCTTTCGAATTCTGCATACCCTGAGGGTCTGGATGTGCAAAAATGTATGTTTTCTGCTTCCTACCGTGGCTCTAACAAAGAAAGCCCTAAGACAAATTATACTCAGTACATCTGTCAATACATACAGGTTCCACCGCTGTTAAAGCAAAGTGCTGCAGTACACCTTATGGACGTTATTTGATAATCTTCATTCTGGATCACCTCTTAATTACATGAGTATACTTCATTTTTTTAATGTGTCTTATGTCACCTTTAAAGTTTAAGGGACTGTGCAGTGCGGCACTCAAGAATTGGCATTCAGACTGTCCAAGGGTTTACCCCCAGGAGACGCTATATTTAAGCTTTTACTTAGGGCCACGCCATGAAGATGTATGGGACAGTGGAGGTATAATTCCATGTATTTTCAGCCTAGACGGGAGTGAGTGGTCAGCTCCACACTCCAGCTACTTCACTAACTCGAAGAGGCACATTACTCACTGAATAAGAGGTTGGGCGCACCAGATAAGCAGGCTGGACGTTACAGCAGAGAGAAGCATCTCTGTCCACGGTATCAAACACAGCCAATAACAATGGTGACCGAACTACAAAGATCTGGAGTGACGCTGGTATCTACAGGTATACTGTCCTTTACTTCCAACTATTCTGAAAGCACGGTTTCTAAAATATCTCTTCTGATGTGCATTCACCTCATCTCGTTTCCCACAGCCCTCCCAAACACAAGTCATAGGCAGTACCGCTTGAGTCAACTTCAGGCAATCTCGTAGACTACAGCCAGAATATGGAGGTAACACGTCTCTCTGAAACGCTGGTACGTATCTGCCAAACTACACGGCGTCAAAAGCCAGATTATTGTGGCGCACAGACCCGTTGCTAGGCAACAGGCGAATAATCAACGGCGTTATATAACCCCTTTCTAGGCAACGGATCGGTAAGAACGTTTCCGCTGCAATGAATACGAACACAACAGTTACTGTTGGAAACGGCGTTTTCTACTCGCCCGTACAAAGTGGTTATAAGGAAGAAAATTGGGGTGGCTCAGTTAACTGTCGGTTGAGTTCTGCAAGGGAGGCTGTATAGAACGTGAACGCGTGAAACTGAAGAATCTCGACTGTTAGAATCCGTTGCCAGGGAACGGCTGGTGAAAACACAGCAGGCTGGAAAAAGGCTTATCGGGTGCTGTGGTGATAGTGTGCAGAGTAGCGATAGCGCTGTGACTACTTATCGTCCCGAGTGAAGTGGTCAATAAATCCAGTCATTAATCTATACAGTATACTCACACACATAAACCGTGACAATGCAGCAGAGTTCGTGGTCACCGTCGCGAAACCTCCACTCTCAAAAACCGGTTTACATTTTGTGTAGTCATACGAGCGTAGTTGGTTGAGGCACTATGCTACAAGCCGGAAGGTCGCGGGTTCAAGTACCGATGAGGTCATTGGATTTTTTCAACTGACCTAATCCTTCCAGCCGCACTATGGCCCTGGAGTCGACTGAGCCTCTAACAGAAATTAGTACCGGGAATATTCTTTGGGGTAAAGGGCGGCCGGCGCGTAGGGCTAACAACCTTACAGCCATCTGTGAGCCGATTGTCTAGAAAATGTGGGAACCTCAACATCTCACAACCCTATGGGCCTCAACGGCTTGTTACATGGATACCTTTACTTACTTTACATACGAAACATAAATGCACCTTCTGTAAGCAGAATGCAGAGCTCTTTGATGTTATGGCTGGTGGCACCTAGAAAACATTTGGAAGGAGGTGGTCGTGGCCTACATCGGGGTACTATCCCGGCATTGGCCTCGAGGGAATGAGAGAATCGATGTAAAACCTCATTCGCAATTGCTGGTGTCTCGGCCAAGATTCGAACCGAGTCTTCTCCAATCCAACGGCATGGACCGGATGGGACAGACTTGCGGAACGAGCTTCTTCAATGGAAACCGTCACCTGCACGAGAGTTCCGTTAGAACTGCAGATAAGATAGGTCAGGAGAGCGCCTCGATAAGGTGGTCCGGTCCGGGCCGGTCCACTAAACATGTCCCAAATCCGAACCGGTCCAACCGGAACGTTCGGAAGCCAAGCAATATCAGGCGTCTGCATACAGACTGGACAACGGAGGAATCGCGTTTCGATTCCAGGCAGGGACAACAGATATTTCTCTTTTCCACAGCGCTCAGACGTAACGAGACGTGAAGCTTCACAGTCTGGTACTAGGCACCGGGTAAGTACAAGAGGGTTCTGCCGCACGCGGGCGCAAGGGCAGGGCCAGGATTTTACTTCACCATAATAAGCTGCTGAAGAAGATGCTTGCAAATTTAAGTTTCAGCCGCTTAAGGCCATTTTTACTGATCTTACTAGAGTATATACGACAGAATATTTTAACAAACGATTTTAATTTGCGTATTTCCTTCCCTTTTCAATTCTTATTGCTTCCCTGTAATCCGGGGAGGGGTAGATGTCTCACCCTGACAGCGTCCACATCCTGGTTCAGCCCGCTGCAGTGACGAGCACCAGACTGTCGGTACAGACGTGTTTGTTCTGGCGATAAACATTTACATCGCATGTAACACAATCGAGAACAAGAATAGTCTCGCAGTCTTTTGGCATTTCGCTTCCAACTCCATTACCCGCACCAAGCCATATTCTGCGCCTTCTGCGGTGTCACGCCGTGTCACCCACGTTTAGGAGGGTCCATCTGATTCTACCTTCACATTTATCACACTGCACGGCGCCAAAATGAACGCTGCGGGCTAGTGCTTCTGGAAGCACTCGTCCGAAGATCGATTATCCTAATCAGTGGTTTTAGTTTTACCATAATCCCAACAAGTAAATGCCGCCATAGTTTCTCAGATCAGCCCAGGACCTCTCTTCTACATTCTATCCAATTCATCATCCAGTAACCATCCTACCATTCCACGCCGTCAAACCACAACGAAACCGCAAAATACAGAGCGTCACACGCCAGAAGACAGCAATACAGTAAACCCTCGCTAATCTTGAGTAACTGGGGGGACAATCTCGATTAGTGAAGCAAAAGGTAAGACTGACGACAGAAAAAAAAACAGAACACAAATTTAACGATATAAGTACTAAGGTGATGTAAAATTGTCCCTGTGCTTAACTAATTAGGCACTACGCCACGAAGGCGCACGGGGGAGTAGAGCTAATGAAAATAAATAGTAAGCCTGTATTTAAAAAAATATAAAAAGAATTCTGACCGAAAAACTGGAGATGCATCGTGTTGCTACGAAATTTGTGCCACGTCTTTTGACAGAGGAGAAAAAAGCAAACTGTGTCACGGTCAGTTCAGGAGCTGTTTGATCGTTCAAATGCTGACGAAAACTTTCTGAAAAATGTCTAACAGGTGATGAAACGTGGGTGTGCGGGTAGGATATCGAAACAAAAGCCCAATCGTCGCCGCGACTAAAAGAAGCACGTCAGAGTCGATCAAATGTGAAAATGTGATCGTTATTTTACGGGAAGGGCGTCATTCATCACGAGTTTGTTCCACGTGGTGAGACAGTCACTGGAGTTTTACTTGGCGGTCATGAAGCGTTTGAGGGAGGCAGTACGAAGGAACAGGCCTGAGGGGTGGAGAAACAAGACTTGGATGCTGCACCACGACAATTTTACCGGACTACACAGCGTTACGTCGTAAAATACAGCACTCTTCATTATAGAAATAGGGCCCACACAGAAGACGACAATCTAAAGGTTAATCTCCACCAAAGTTCAGACTTTGTATACACGGTTTATAGTCCACGCCAGTTTTGGATAATTTTATCTCTCTTCCTTGGCAAGATACTCTGGCCCGGGCATCATGCACTTGCCTCTGAGTAACAACTTCGATCTACAAGTCTACATACAGTAGCCGAATTTAATACACACTCCGAGGCAGATCCTTCTGTACATACAAAAATGTAACGGTGAGCAGTCTTTTGTTTCAGCGTGAGAACCACACGGAACACACAAATCCAATCTGTGGGCAGAACACACATTTTTCGTATGTTAAAGCTTTAAATGGTTAATATTTCTGCGTGTTATTCGTGGAAGGTGACGTCAAATGAGATTTCCCGCTGAATCCTCAATGGGTGCTGCACTGGCACACATTAAAAATCTGATAATTTAGGTACATCTGATGATGTGGAGGAGGCAGGTCCCTTCAAAGCGCAAACTCTACGGCGTCATAGCAGCAATCTTCATGCCGTGAGAACTAAAATGTGACAAAAAAGAGAGACAAGATCCTGTACATCGTGTGAATACGTAATGCCCCATCACGACAATGCCATAAACGGGAGAAAGCGAATTAGCAAAGATACACGGAGCATGAAAACGCGGCTGTCCCTAAGGACAGCAAGGAGAGTTGACACAATGGAACACAGCCGTGAGGTCTACACCACAGATCGGGTTTTGATGGCGTCATGTGAGAAGTGCCAAGCCACTAGCCAGAACACTGCACAACCACTGTGTGGATCTATCGACCTGAGGCTACCCAGACAGGAGCCTGATAGGAGCGACTGATACATCTGAGAGCGTCACCAACACAGTAACGCATATCATCACTCCATCACCACAAACTCAGTTGGATTATATTTACAACATGCGATGAAAACTAAAATCGCTACACCGGAGATTGCGTCCAGCACAGCAATGTTCTAGGAGCTCACAGTATCGGTCATTCTATGCAAAAAAAGTGAATATGTACATGTGTCCTATTCCGAACGGTTTCCGAGATACAGATATCTCACTGTACAGTTCCAAAACTCTTGAGAAGAAAGAGATATTACGTAGTTTCCAATACCGGTATTTATTGTTCAAGTGACAAAATACATTTCCGAAAATTCCACTTTGCA